TGGGTTGCTGAACACGAAAGTGCATTGTGATCATTACACTACATATCTCTTAGACGAGTCATATTTTAATATCATGGAATTTTTACATGTTAAAAGCTGGTTCTATTCACGCTCTTTTTGGCACTGAAGGAATTTTTGCATTATCTGTTAAATAAATAATATACTCGTATATTATGACATTGACAATCATTGGCAACTTTTAAGCAAGTTTTTCCGCTGTTTCATATTGATGGGCAAATAATGTTTAGTACCATTTTTGGGCCAAAATAATGTATCGCTCTTAATGAATTGGCAGCTAAGGTTTATTGACATTTGTCAATAGCGTCCGTAGAAGTCAATAACGTCAATTGTGTCACGGCCTTTGAAGCTTTGAGCAGGAATGTAAATTGCATCCCAGTGGGCTAATTCACTTGAAAACTGTAGTCCATGCTGAAAATTGATCTTCTTCAGTCCATTCAACAGGTGTAGCATTGCCAGCTATTTGCTTTATCAAAAGAAGTAAGGGAAGTTTAGATAAGACTTCCCGGCCTTCAAGCCTGAACATTTCTCTATTGTCAGTTATGGAATCTTCACTTCTAGTTTCCTGCGTGACAATATGATATTCGAAGCAACCCTCAATTTAACATCAGCTACCGTCAATAAAAAAAATAAATGAAAATCTTGATCAATTAAACCTTTTTTGAGTATTTTGGATATCTGCGTGCATATTTTAAAATTTGCTTCTAATTCACAGTTATGCCTCATTTCATATACAAATGAATCATAATATTTAGACGTTTCCTAATAATTCAGGACATAGAAATACTTGCCCAATCTGAGAAATGGTCGTACAACGGTTAAATTTGTGAATGTAAGTTATTTTTACTGAAGTGTACGCAAGTAAATCTTGTCAATATTCAGTGTAGAGAAAGTCAGTACGGAACGAACATAATTTTAAACGATATGGTGTGACTTGTCTGATGATGGGCGTCGCAGAATGGTTTACATAAAAATCTCAAGTAAGGGGCTACAGTTCTTATATCAGCACTGCGTTCATAATTTAGTGAAAACTATCCTAAATTTCTTCAAAAGTCATAACAATTTAATTTATGTGCAAAAATTTTATCTGCTTCAGTAGATCTCCACACACCATATGTCACTTATAATATTATTCTACGAATATTTCTTATGAAAGTACCTTCGTTTTATCAGCACACACAATCATCATGCATCGCGCATCGTGCATCAGGTGGCCCAAATGAGGGCGGATGAACGATAATCAGAGGCGGCGATCCATCGTGGCCTGGGACTGCTACGTCCCAAACATATACTAAGGAAACACACCATGTAGGCTTGGGTGATATGCCTGCCATGCACACTGCACAGTAAATTTGTGGCTTCCGTTCGCTCCGTCGTGAGGTCTCTCACCTACGACGCTCGTAACTCGGCGGCGGTCAGCGCGCAGCCTCTCGCATGCAGCGCACCGCTACTCAAACAAGCGCGTAACTCTCGGTCACGCCGCCGCTGCTCCCGCTATGATCTGAACTGTTGTTTAGATTGAGCACGAGCTTCCTTCACGCTCTTTAGATACATTCAGTGTTCGTAAACAGGTCCACTGCAGTCCGTGATCCTTGAGAACTTGAACTCACGAGTCTCTAGAAAGTCAGACGTTCTTTTATTTTGTATTTTTTTTCATGTTAGAATGACTACTCATAATGTCAGGTTTTTGTTCTCCGTCATTCTTACATTTCAGTTGTTTAGAATTCAGATTTTATGAACTAAATCAGTTTAGAAGTGGTTACGAGTTTGGAAGTGCTTTGTGACTATTCAGACCATTTGTCGAAACCTGGAAATGATTTGACAACATAAGACTGATTAGTTAAAAGACAACTTACAAGAGTAGTTACAAGAGTACTCTATAGGAGTTCTTTATCCTCTTTATTAAGATATTTGGTTTCGTGAAATAATCGCATCACAATGATGGAGCTATTGCTCCCGCCGCCTCCTGAGTACTGTCCTCCATGGATGATGCCGGCTCCGGTGCCGTCCATGTACGGTAGCATGTCATATCTTCCGCCCCCGCCCCCCTACACCACCATCAAGCCCTGCTTGTCACAGCAAGTAAGCGCTTTGTGTAGATATGCTTTCAGGAAATTCAGATATACAATTATAAAAATAAATGTGTTATCATGATACGCAAAGACAAAACGGTGCAGTGCGGGTGAAGTAGCGCTGTTAAAATAGTTAATATTAGTAATGCAGGCTTTAAAAGTGATAGCTTGTATCGCGGTTGAAGTATATGCATCGAATGAAGGAGTTTCTAAATGTCAACACTAATGAAGGGCACTAGCCTCACATTAAAACAGTAAAGGTTGTTAAAGTGTTGCATCTCATTGTTGGTTTATATAGTGGTCTACGTTGAGCTCCAGTCTCTTGTGATAAATGCTGGTCATGGTGATGAACGTGATTCGTCAAGTGTAGCGTTCTGGTCATGGTCTTCTGTGAGTTATGGTGTGGAGGCTTCAAGTAATCTTGTGGTATGTACACCAAACACAAGGCATATATGGTGTTGGTTTTATTTTATGATCAACGTGCAATACAAAATTATTCGATGATTTCGCCGCTTCACTCTTCCATTCGATCTCACATATATATTATCCATCGAAAACTTCGTCCTTAGTTTGTCCTTTTAATGCTCCTGCCGATGCAGCAAACGCTCTGTCACATCTCATGAACGTGATAAGAATACTGTTATGGAACCCCGCTGTAGTTCTTGCAGTCCAATTGTTTAGGAAATAATGGGCTATATGTCAAGACATCCTTTAGTAAACGAACTTATTTGTTACATTCGAGGTCATCTTTTGTTTGTGATACGTATTTTAGTTTTCATCTTGATAGGCTATATTTTTATATGTATAAGAGCAACACGCGTTATATGAACGAAAATTTATCGTTTTTCGGTAACGATGAATAGCTTATTATAGATAAATTTCTTGTTAAAAGTGTTTTTTACATAAAACTTACTTCAACATGCTCATTCATATGTAGTCTATCAGATTGTATGTGGAATACAGATCTATCAGTCATGCGTTCTGTTATAATAATACGCTTCATTGCAATAATATTCATGTCTGATTGACTGTGAGCACAATTTTTTGTGTATTTTCTTGTATTAAATCTTGCTATGGTGTTCAGCTCCAGCGTGAAGCACAATTTCAAGTCACCCTCTCAATTAGGGAGCTGGCCAGGTGGAGTGCAATAAAAAAGGGACTATTCGCGGTTGTCTTTTGTAGAGGCCAGGGTTAGGTGAAGAAGCTTCAGAAGAAACCTTTCCCTTACTTTCTCGGTTTCTCCATAGCGTCTGTGTAGGTCACGCGTCTGCTATGTGGGAGGCCATTCCAGTCAGGACTTGCTTTGGTTTATTTTCGCGATATAGAGCAGCAGCTATACCGCGTTTTGAAAGCCTGGCTACCACGAGGAAATGAAAAATAAATGTGCGCTCATGAAAAATGTTGTCAACTGGCAGGCGAGCCCGGCGTAGTCTCCTATAAATAATACCAAAGAATCCCTTAATTGAATGCTTTGACTGACATTGTAATAATTTTTAAAGCTGAAATAAGTTAAACAGAGAAATGTCATTCAAATCATAAGTTGCCAAAATAATATCCAACAGCTTCATCCGTTGATGAAGAATAATAATAATCCGTTTGAATAATATCCGTTAGCGAAGCTTCAAAAAATTTCCGTTAAAATCAATTTCAGATTCTCCTGATATGATAGGGATCATAGCTAGAGACGCGTCGGAATATCTCTTAAATAGCTATACTGTATAAGGCTACAAACTCACTAGCAAACAAACCTTCTAAAGCATACAAAGTACTGATGATGTATACATGTGCATACACTTTGCACGCGTTGAGATAATATTTAGAAATCCTGCAGCGCATTTTTGATGTTTCGGCGAGAAATATGTTTATTTTGGAACATTTTAATACCTTAATATTTGTTTCGTAGCATTCATACTGGGAGTTCTATGAATAAATACTGTAGTTGGTTCACATGCTTTTTTAGGCGCGCGAATAGTTGAACTCATTCATGCCTGAACGTTTCGGTATTTCTATGAAAAATTTATAATTATAAACGCAATGCGTAATATCCTTGTTAGAAAACCGCACTTTCTTCCCACGAGCCTCGCGCGTCATGCTATCCTTGGTCTTCCTATCATGGAAAACGGAATATTTTAAAAATACCTTCGTAACTTTCACTCGTTTTTACTTGCGTTATTTGCTCAATGCCGAGTTTTCCTTTCTGAAAGAGTTGTTAAGGAAATAAAACTGGATAATTTTATGTTCAGCTACTACAAATATACAGAAAATTGTGAATCGTGTCTTTAGATTATGCTGATAAGTAATCACTGGGCGCATCCTAAATCAATGAAAAATTAATTTCTCAGCTTTTTGGTACATTTTTTACTGTTTGAAAACATGTCAAACATCCGAAAATGTCTATGTAAGTATGTATTGTATGTTTTATTAACGAAATAAGTAAACATATACACTCGATCTCGTTAGAACCGCTTCATTGTGTGCAATGTTGACGTTCTGATTTCTCTTTCGAAGTCTCGGGGCTTTCAGTCAAGTTCCCGAGACTTGATTGTCGAGACTTTCCACGGAATTAGATGAGCTTGCCATATGTTCCTACGTGTAAACTTCAAGCTCTGGGAAAATACTATTATACAAATTAATTTCTAAAAACTTTCACGTTCCGAGAGATCTAGTAGCTGCTGAAGGTTAGCGCTAGTTCATTTTACATTGATAATATTAAAAGAAAACTCTTGAACGCCCCCATTTCACATGGACCAAAGAAGCGTGTGACAGATTTGTTTAGCAGCCATTGTTCTAACAAAAATCTGCGCGTTAAGCAAAGCTTTTTTTATTTTTGTATTAGGAAACTAACAGTTTTAATTCAGTTGGCATTTATTAGTTTATATACAACTGATGAGACGTCTTTGTTGTGCTCAGGCGTTGTTCAGCGCCGAAGGGGCAGAACACGGCCGACGGCTTGTGACGCCGCAGCTCAATGGCTCGGACCCCGCGGACAAGCCTCACACTCTCGAAGACTATGCAGTCGACCACTTCAGGTGAGCGACTCCTATTTTTCTTAAACCCCTTCCAGCATAATGAATTTCACTTCGCGTCGATTATTTAAAAGTTTCCCCACACATAGTACGAGAAGTTATAGTTTATGTTTGAATTATTTGAATATTATGACGTGGATATTGGAGTGTGTCATTATATTTTTAAGAAATACTTCTGCGTTCTCATAACTTTGCTCCAAAATGCGGAAAATTCAACTAATATTTGTTCTCAGACCTCCGCCAAAACGCACGATGTCGCGTTCGATCACCCTCGCCTCAGCAAGGCGGCCGGGCGTTGAGACTCTGTGGCGGTACTCGCGCGAGCCCATCAAGCAACCTCTCCTGAAGAAGCTCCTGCAGAAGGAGGAGCTCGCTCAAGAGTCCGTCTACGCATTTGCTGCTATTCTCAAGTACATGGGAGATCTGCCATCCAGGCGTAACAGGACTGGCAACGATCTTACCGATCAGATCTTCGACGGACCACTTAAGCATGTGAGTGGAGGTTACCTTGTCCTAATAAGTTTTAACATAACATAACATAGTGATGTCGGCGCTGAAGTGTAGGCCTGATGTGGCCTGCCGCCGATTCTTTTCCTTTTCGTGCCTTGTTCATAGATCTAAACTCGTGTCATTTGACCGGATCTTTTCATGACTGGCGATAGTTTGAAGTAGCTACTAGACTTCCACCGGGTTTTGCTGGATAGTTTCGTTGTTTTTTTTCTGTCACTTAAAATTTTATACTATAGTATATGTGACGAACTAGCCGCAGAAATTCAAATGACAATTCAAACTTCGGATGGTCTTCTTGTCACGCCTAACAATTACCGGAAGATATTTGTAACAAGCTTCCCCCTATTGGTTTACTATGCTTAGCTTTGGCTGGACGGGGTCGAAACGCCAATGACAAAGCTAAAGTATTTAAAGATAAACAGCAAACTATTAACTTAACAAATCAGAACGGGTAGTCTTTACAAAACTGATGCCAAATAGGAAACTAAAAAATTTACAAATCTGATACTGGGAAAAAATGTTTGCAAATAGGACACGAAACGAGAGAGCTAGAGTTAAAAGATTAAGAGCGTGATCATAAAATAGACAACAAAGGATAAATACCTACACAGGACAATCCAATTATATTCACAAATTTCCCAGTACTTGTCAATATATACTAATCCCAACACTATCACATGCAACAACTCGTCTTAGCGTTGGAGTTAAAATCCTATAGGAGAGGAATCAGTACGCCGTTCGGGATCAGCAGCTTAATCTGACTGACGGCTACAAAAAAAAATATAACGCTCACGTTACGCTGGTCACGCTTGATCTTAGCGGTCTAATGGCCAGTAGTAGGGAATTTTTAATCCACTACATTAAGGTATACTTTTTTAATATAATTATTGTGTGTTTATAATAAAATAGCATCTTATAAAATTACCTTCATTTTTATTTTATTATATCCACTCTCAACGATTTTGTCTGGAGAAATATATTAATTTTTTATATTACAGGAAATATTGAGGGACGAAATATACTGTCAGATGATGAAGCAGCTCACTGACAACAGAAATCGGCTGAGTGAAGAAAGAGGTTGGGAGCTGATGTGGCTCGCTACAGGTCTCTTCACATGCTCACAGACCTTGATGAAGGTAATGACATGCGATGAAACGGAATGAGTGTGATGGAAGAAAGAGACATACAAATGGATTTTATTGGTTTTAAATTATCATGAAATAACAAAAAATCTATTTTTAATGACCGCTCTATCAAATAGTTCCATCGTAGTGATACAACTTTACTATGCAAATGTGTTCTGTGTTATTGGATTTTTTCTCATGCTTTTTATACAGTTCTTGTGATGTATACTCCGTCACTTTAATATACGGGGGGTTCTCTGACTCATCTGGATCTTCTTTCTATTCTGGAATTTTGTTAAGTTGGGTCTCTTAAATCACGAATGTGGTAAAAAAACATTATATATGGTTTCATTTTGATATCTGAGTTATCGCAAAATAAATTTTGTAACAGGAGCTGAGCCAGTTCCTGAGATCGCGTCGGCATCCGATAGCGCAGGATTCGCTGCACAGGCTGCAGAAGACGCTCAAGCACGGCCAGCGCAAGTACCCGCCTCATCAAGTCGAAGTCGAGGCCATCCACCACAAGACCACTCAGATCTTCCATAAGGTACGTAGGGTAACATATAACTGATGGTAGCTATAATGTATATTTACCTGGCGTTAGTTATGAATGACATTGGCGTCAAGTTTTTCATTTGTTGGTTAAGAATAGCATTGGCGGCGGGTTATTCATCTGTTGACGCGTTGTTATGATCCAATGGTAATTCAGATTCCAGTTATACCCGTAAATGGAGATCCAAATTTAATTACAATGTTGCTAGAATTTCGTGCTTAATGTCTTAGATGACTACATTTTATTTTATTTTTAAGCTCATTCATTTAGTTACAAATAAAAAATAAATTTCAGCCCCAATTAAGTCTGAATTTTGTGTGAAAGCCTACATATTAGCGCCATGTTTTTCAGGTGTACTTCCCTGATGACACAGACGAAGCATTCGAAGTTGATTCTTCTACGCGAGCTAAAGATTTCTGTGCATCGATTTCCCATCGTCTTAATCTGAAGAGCCCGGAAGGATTTTCACTCTTCGTTAAGATTGCCGACAAAGTAATTTCAGTGCCCGAGGGAGACTTCTTTTTCGACTTCGTCCGACATCTTACCGACTGGATCAAGAAAGCCCGACCCTCCAGAGACGGTAAAAAAATCAAGTTTTGCAGTACCGAGATGATTTCTCGAAGATATATACTAGCACTTTTTTGAGAAACGATTTGGAAGAAGACCTGAATTATCTGGCGTCTTTAACAAATGATTTCAAACTTTAAGTCTTTTGCAATCTCTTGTAGTTCACAATGTCCCGCAGAAAAATAAATTAAGCTCAACTGAAAATACTCAGCATGTCCAGGCATTAATCAAGTATTTAAATTTTATGAGTGTATACAATTTTCATTCCCAAGAAATGTGATAAAAGAACTACGTATCTCTATACCAGCCATAATTAAAATCAGTCGAAATTTTTACTAGCACAGATGTTTCTTTTAGCTACTTTACAATGAGTATCCATGCGAATGTTATAACTTGTTTATTATTCCTTAAACCTCAGGATCCACGCCTCACTTTACCTATCAAGTTTTCTTCATGAAGAAACTGTGGACCAACACAGTCCCGGGCAAGGACAGGAATGCCGACATCATCTTTCATTTCCACCAGGAGCTGCCAAAGCTCCTCAGAGGTTAGTTAGATTATTATTAAAAATAAGAAACGTGAAAAATCCAATATCTTTATTACCAAGAGTCATACTCTGAATACAATCATGGCAAACCCAAAATTCTTTACGATGAAGTATTCTCAGCTCTGATTTTGATTGATTTATATTTATTCTGCATCCGTTTTTCAGGCTATCATCGATGCACTAAGGAAGAGGCTGCGAAACTTGCCGCTTACGTATACAGAGTTCGTTTCGGCGACAGTAAGCAGGAGTTCTCCGCTTTCCCGTGAGTAATAAATGCTCTTAGATATGTTGACAAGAATTATTTCTTTATTTGATCCGAAGAAATGATCGGCATTTTTTATTCATGGTTAATTTTTTGTAAAATTTTGTGTTGTTTTGTAAAATGCGTGAAAATTTGAATTTCAGACAAAAATCTCATTAGTTTTCAAACCTTAGTTTAACGCTTCTTTTTCATGAAAATAAAAGCGTCTCGTATTTCGTCTTAAATAAGTCCCCTAATTCATCAGGAACCTGTTGAGAGAGCTTGTCCCCGCTGATCTCATCAAGAGCCTCAGCACCAGCGACTGGAAGAAGAACATCCAGCAACATTACACTCAGGATGCTGGTGAGTGATCAAATAGTTTTTTCATTGCGGGTAATAACATTGATAGATTTGATGATATCTGTCAGAAGCACGATAGAATGATTTTAGTAGGACTAAATTGATCGGAAATAATTGAAATATGATGCAATTGTCTCTCGCTTATGCAGGCATGAGTCCTGAAGACGCCAAGATAGCTTTCTTGAAGCTGATATATCAGTGGCCAACGTTTGGGTCGGCTTTCTTCGAAGTGAAGCAGACGACTGACCTTAACTACCCCGACCACTTGCTCATCGCCATCAACAAACAAGGCGTATCTCTCATACATCCCGCAACAAAGGTCTGTCTTGGTTCCAAATATTTCTTGGAATGTTTTATGTTGTTTAATGGTCTGGATGAGAACTGAACCACATTGATACGATCGGAGCATCAATAGCTTGTTTGTCAATTTAGTAATTTATGGCGTCAGTGCTACTGTATTTCCTCGGATTACTCCATCACAGAATACTCATTCTATCTTTAATACTCTTAATACGTTATTAAGAGTATTAATTCAAAAAAATTTTATTTTCAAAAAAGGAGACGTTCTAGTGAGCGCAAAATAACTTGCACTGATGGTTGCCGCTTAAAATGTTCTCTGTTGCGTACAAACGTCCGCAGGTTGCTGCAGTCAATAGTTTACGTATAATTGTATGTTCCCGAAGAGTGACATACTGCGGTAGAGGGCTAAAAGTGATCGTAAATTTATCATATACTTTTTTTCTCACAGGAAATCCTAGTGACAAATGCGTTTACGCGGATCAGTAACTGGTCGTCAGGAAACACCTACTTCCACATGACCATCGGCAACCTCGTGCGCGGCTCGAAACTTTTGTGCGAGACGACGCTCGGCTACAAGATGGATGACCTCCTCACCTCCTACATATCCCTCATGCTCACCAACATGAACAAGCAGAGAACTTTGAGGAAATAATATTCCAGCCGAGGTGGAAAAATAGATGCTTATTTTCAAGATAAGTTTATTTATTTCTGTGAATATTAGCCTTAGGTTTGGTTAGACTAATGTATCACATTTCTAACTTTATTGCAATATTATTGTAGAATTGTTTTTGTGCAATTATTGTGTTGAATAATATGTTGAAAATGACTTAGGTAAGATACGTGTCGTGAGACCGAACCCTCGAATAGTGAGAAGAACTGAACGATATAACTCGGCAAATCAGTCCTTTAACTGTTCATGATCACGAGCATCGTAGCTATATCGCTGCTTAGCTATATCGCTCAATTTAATTTACTCGATGAATGCTCATATTATCTTTTTCCTATTGGATATCTAATATCGTTAAATTTGATTTGTAATCCTCAACTTTACATTCATTTTTTAAATAATGGAGCCTAGCTAATCATCTGGATTCTCTAGCCATATGAGTTTGATCCAAAATATGGTAAGAGACGTACTACCTGTTCGTTCGACTAATTCGCTCCTCTGATCATCGAAGTAATGCTCAAACACTGCACAAATTAATCTCTTGTAAATTCAGCTATTTAGCGTGATGTATATAAATAAAATATTAAAACTAATAAATGTCGCAACATTCGTTCTTTATGGCTCCTTGTTGGAATGAGATTCGTAAATTCCGTTACTCCTGTTCGTAGTTGAACTTAATTAACTGGCTAGTTTCAACGGCATTACCTGACAGTTTGCAGTTTGAGATTAGACGATTGAAGCACTTGATCATCGATTTCTTTGTTCTTAATAAATAAAATTTGTATTATAAAAGAACTTCTTACTTTCCAATAACGTCGTCTCAAGCATGCTAATTATGCTTCGAGGGAGGACTTTGTTACAGGTTTGACGCTATAGACGAGTTCTATGCAACGAGGTTGAATACAAAGGTTAACAATTTTTTTTAGAGAAATGCTGGATTCGTCTAATGTTTAGTCACTACTGCAGCCAAGCTTCTACCAGCACTTGAGTCCACCAGTTTCTAAACAATGTCAACACAAAGAAAGAATATGTTGCTAATAAGAAAACACTTCGAAATTGAATTGTTGGACAACTCATATGAGATGAACGCATCGAACCACTGACAGTTAAGCTGTACGCAAGAGTTTTCTCAGTGAATTTATAAAATCTTATAATGCAAGACCAATTGCATGTTCAACCAATTTCTGAGCTGTGAGCAGGGCTGATGATAGGAATTGTAATAATCGCTCATAACTCGTTGCAATGACTCAATTAATTATGATCGCATGAACTAAAAAATCGTTCATTTTAAGCATCAATTATTGATAAAAAGTCATAAAGCCGAAAGGCATTTCAAATGATTGCCATTACAGAACGCCTCAGAGAAACGCAAAATACTCGTACATACAGTTAATACTAGAACATTCAATAAGAATTATTTAGAAACATATGAATGAAAGTACGCAAGCTGGGGTTTCTGACTTTATTCATAAACTTGCAGCATGAGGGGATTTGTATGCAATTAACCCGTCTGCTGACGACATACATCAATGATAACAGTCACAGATAAGATACGAGATATGAACACTCGATGGAAATGATGACCTGCAACATCAGCAGTGATGAACACAAGAGGTTACTTACTAGTTAGCTGCAGATCTACTCCGCACTTCAAAATGTGTTAATTTAACGTGTCATTACAGTCTCGAGAGAACGAACCCATGCGATGTGTTTAACTAGAAAAGCGAAATAAAGGCATAAATGAAGTTAAAAGACATAGAGTGAATTTTGCTATGCCTTATTTTAGAAGATCCGGCTCCTGCAAAATTTTACTCGAATCAATAAATAGAGCTAGAATCTTTGAATATGTATATATATATAATATACGGAGAAGTGATGATATAAAAACATCTTGATCTGTTGACTCCTTCAGATTTGAATTATTAGAGCTCAGGAAAGTGAAAAATCCATCGTGAATAATTTTCTTGCATATAAACTTTAAAATTTCAACAATCATAAAATAATTATAAGAATTATAATGTTACACGCTTGGTTGAACCGTGTTTTAACCAGAAATTTGATAGCAAAAATAAGCCGCAAAAATTCATAATTTTCATATAACCTTTTCCGGGAAGAATAATTTATTTGAATCAAATTCTACAATTCAATGTTATTGAATACTAGAATGCGTTTCATCTCCTCTGTACATAAATGTGAGAGAGTTAATTAAATATATACATAAAATGTGAGTTAAAGTCGACTAATTGCAAACGAAGTAGACGATTAGTTACTCTGCAGATGAATCTCTGACAAGTTCTAAAGAGATTATTCCTAAGCCCTAAAACAGGGTAAGAATTGTTGCAAAAATGATAAAATGTTTCTGCCATTGGTAGAAAACAAGAGAAATCCAAATTTAAGTGATTCAGGGTAGTGCATTGCATAATCAGGCGTCATTTACATCGGCCTGAATCAATTAGTTGGGTCTAGTTCACAAATCGAGGTTCGCAATCGACAAACAGTTACAAAAAGTCGCAATCTTATGACCTGATACAATTTATTTCTCTTAGTTTTTGATTGCTAAATTGAATGTAAGCCCCTAGATAGAAATTAAGAAATTTATGTGTCCGAATAAGTCATACAGCATGCTTTTCCGTTCAATCGGTGGTCGTATTGATGAAGGTATCCTGCAGCTTTATCGTTCACTTATCGCCCGTTGTCGGTGATTACCATTATCAGAACTGTCCCACCATTTAGTCAGCTGTAGCAATGACAGCCTCCTATGTTAACTATACTTTTATGATCGCTGAAACAGCGCTATAAATGAAATGGAAAGCAAGGCATAACTTGATCGTTTAAAGCTTATTTTGTTGAATACTATATAGCTGTAGTAATGCCTAAGCAAAAATATGGAAAATAATGGAATTTTCAATAAATAGCGAGACGAAGAATATGGCCATGTGACCAAACTATCACTTGAGCGATTGTATAGTCGCGATCTAGTCAGGGTCACTCGCGACCAACTCGTATGTTCTCCGCGAAGTTATGTTGTCACAATTTCTTCGTCATTTTGGTTTATGTTGTCACAATTTCTTTGTCATTTTGGTTTATGTTGTCACAATTTCTTCAACGTTTCGGTTTATGTTGTCACAATTTCTTCTTCATTTTGGTTTATGTTGTCACAATTTCTTCGACGTTTTGGTTTATGTTGTCACAATTTCTTCGTTGCTTCGGTTTTTGTGTCACAATTTCTTCGTTAAGATGGTTCGGCCGTATAGACATAAATTTAGGAACGGGCGAGGAAAGGCTCTTCACACTTCAAGATAAAGAGAAAAAATTTATGACAGATAAAGGCAAAAACAAATGTTTGTGTTGTTAAAAACAGTAAGAAAAAACCGTAAATTCGGAAATAGGTCGTTACAGCGACCGCACATACTCATTAGTGAGATGCCGCGTTAAACAATAGTTCGATTATCTAAGTATCGTATTAAATTGAAGGCAAAGTGCATATCGTTCATTAGCTTTTTATGCCCTCTTAAATTACACAATGCTGACATTTTGTACGACAGCCGAAACTTTTCAGCTGAGGCATTAATCCAAAAGAGGGGAAACAATAATAAAGTTTCTAGATCAAGGGAACGAGGTTGTCGACTGTACTCCAAGTGCCACATGATCACAAAAGGTTTTGGAAACCTCCATCCAAGAACTTTATTTCTCTCTGATCTGAATTTAATGCCTCGAATGAAAAGTTCCGACTGCGACTGTTTAATTTTACTGTCGTAAATAAATCAGCCGATGTCAGGAAACGCATAATTCCAGGGAGGACGAGAGTAGGCTCAATGGAGGCTCAATGCGGAATTCAGGGGAGGCTCAATGCCGAAAACTGTCTAGCAAAAATATTGATTATACCCAAAACTTTCAAGTACTCAATAAATGGAGCATGACATAAATAAATAACAGTGTTTGGCAATTAAAATTGAGCTTAAGGGAAATGATCTAAAAATTTGTATTTTCAGAACGATTAATAATCACATATTGCAAAAAAAATTAAAATTGAAGTTTCATTTCATCAGTTTTTGGCCAAATGTATGAAAAATAACCAAACGCATCATTAAATAAGTAACAATGGGTCGAGAAGATGAAAGGAGGAAATCAAAAGACAAAAGAAGAGGGAGCAATGCAAAGAATGCCACAAATTTCTTCCCAGTAAGTAAAAATCAGAACCATAATACAAACAGTGCTACCACCACCTCGGGGGTCATAATTTTCCTATTTCTACTGCAATATGTATGTATATTATTTTCAATCGACCAAAAATGAGCCATATTGAAAACCAGATTTGAATCAGAGCCAAAATCCGAGCCATAATACATATTGTGTCATATGGAGTGTCACAGATCTTTGATATAAACAGGTACAGTATATTTATGCATACTATTTTCTATCAACCTGATATTTGGCATGTTCTAACTTGTGAACAATCAAAATCAATTTTCCGTGCTTTATTTTACCCATGTGCATCGCAGGGCGACTACATCTGGGTGGAGCCCACTTCTGGAAGTGAGTTCGATGTTGCCATCGGAGCCAAAGTTTTGAGCATCGACGGTCGACGAGTGACAGTCCAGGATGACGCTAGGAAGGTACATGGTCCACATATAAACTGAATATATATTTAAAATTCAGAAAATAAATAAATTTAATGCACCGTCAAATTGAACAGGCAAAAAATCTTTCACGAAGGAATTGTTGCCTTATAGGAATAAATATTTTAGAAGGCAATATTTACTACCACACTATGTAGAAACTGTAAGACTTTAAGTGCGAAAACATATACAGCAGGATGTCGAGAACAATACCAGGATGAATGAAAACTTTTTCACTTCTACGCAGTCGATTGTGCTGCCGCCGGAGCGTCGCATCAAGGCGATGCACCCGACGTCTGTTCAAGGGGTCGAGGACATGATCAGCCTGGGCGACCTGCACGAGGCTGGCATCTTGCGTAACTTGCTCATCAGATACAACGAAAACCTCATATATGTGAGTCATGTTAAGGTACATCCTGCATAACCTGCTCATCAGATACAACGAAAACCTCATATATGTGAGTATTTTTTTTTATCAAGCATGCCTAATCAGCACGAGCATCATTCGGAACCTGCTCATTAGACGCTGGCGCAAAGTTAAGGATTTATACACTATGCCAGTCAGTTAATAACTACCTATTGTAATCAAAAGTTAATGACAACAAATTTAGAGACAAAGAATAATGCCAGTAAAAACTCAATGTAAGCGCTTTTTTTATTGTTACTTGACAGACCTACACGGGGTCCATCTTGGTTGCAGTCAACCCTTATCAGAATCTACCCATCTATACAGCCGATCAGATCAGGCTTTACAAAGGGAAGAAATTTGGCGAGCTTCCTCCTCACATCTTTGCCATTGGCGACAATTGTTACTCGAACATGAACACTTTTCACCGTGACCAGTGCATCGTCATCAGGTTAGTGGTTAGCCAGGCTGTTCGATATTTGCCAAAAACATAAAGAATTTTGGGAAATAACGCACCGAGTGCGTGTTTTTCATATATTTTTCGGTGGAGTTCTTGTTCTTAGAAAAATTAATATTGCATTCTCTTTGAAAGAGTGCATTATAAGTATTTCCAAGATGCACGAAAATCCTTATTTACCATTATTTTTGCTTTAAAGTGGTGAATCCGGAGCTGGAAAAACGGAAAACACGAAACTCATCTTGCAGTACTTGACAGCCATCTCAGCTCGACACTCGTGGATAGAACAACAGGTTTTGGAGGCAAATCCTATCCTTGAAGGTACGTGAAGAAAAATTTTAATGCATACTCTGATCTTATTCACTGCGTAACTTGATATTTTTAATATTGCGTCCGATTTTTCAAGTTTTAATTTCATTTGTTACTTGCGCCGTGCAGCGTTCGGCAACGCCAAGACTCTACGAAACGACAATTCGTCTCGCTTCGGCAAGTACATCGACATTCACTTCTCGGGTGAGGGCGTCATCGAGGGAGCCAGGATCGAGCAATACCTGCTGGAGAAGTCGAGACTTGTGTCGCAGAGCAAAGGAGAGAGAAACTACCATATCTTCTACTGCATGCTTGCCGGTCTACCGAAAGATGAACTGTTGCAGCTCAAACTGAAGTCAGCTTCTAATTACAAGTATCTCACCGAAGTAAGTAGTTCGTCTTGTGAACCATGTTCAATTTATTGCATTAGTCAGTGAAAGATAGTTGTGCTCCATTACCGTATAAACTTTATTTTGTTATTATTTGCACCCAATTCTCGCGTAACAAATATAATAATGTTAATCCTGGCAAAACATTCGCATTACCCCTGCATGCTCACCAGGGCGAAACGATCACGTGTGAAGGTAGAAACGATGTCAGGGAATTCGCTGACATCAGGTCAGCAATGAAGGTTCTCATGTTCAGCGACGCTGAAGTCTACGAAATGTTCAAGCTGCTTGCTGCTATCCTTCACATGGGCAACTTAAAGTTTAAACCAAAAAGTGTTGGTGAGTACACAAAACCACGTATTATTGTAGGTTTAAAAATGAATATTCAGCGATGGCTTAAAATATGGAATATTTTCCAGCATGCATTCAATTTGAAGTGACGAAATGAAAGTTAGTAACTAGTTTGATGGCTAAAAAGCACGAAAATTATCACAGTTTTCTTTCAATTTATGTTATTAACGATCCAAAAGTATTATATAAGTGAAGCAAATGGAGATATTGTCTGTTAATGATGGAGTTTCGTAGCGAACATGGATGGCTCTGAGATCACCGACGCGGCGGGGCTGGCGTGGGTGGCTGAGCTGCTGGGAGTGGAGGCGCGGCACCTCAAAGCGGGACTCACGTCGCGCTCCATCACCGCGCAGGGCGAGACTGTCGTGAGTTACAAACACTCAATTGCATTTAGTAATGATTAGGACATGTCTGGGTAACAATTTTGATCTATTGACCACAAGTGATAGAAATTTTCTTATTTCCACATAGGGTTTCATAATTTATCGTTGTTGCATACTAGTCATCGTTATACATGCATGATGGTTGTTGTGCATTGATGTTTACTTGATTTAGTTGTTTAGTTGTTAATTGAACTATTTTGAAGCAAATTTAACGTAAAGCATTCTTAAATATCAACGCAATTTAGATCGTCAGCGTTTAATTTGCTTCGTAAAACATGATTAATGTGATTGATTCCATAACTCAATCGTTTAATGTAAATTTTAATGTAAATTATTTTAATGTCAAATGTAAAATTATTCCCATCCATGAGAAATTCTATTTCCCTCTCTATGTTTTACAACGAGCCAAATTTTCCCTGGTTATCAGTGATGACAATTGAATAAGTTTTAGCGTGCGTCTGGCACTTAATTATATTGGAACCGATATTTGCTAGCACATCCTCTTAATAAAGTTCATAATTGAGTTCTTTGCAAGGTGTCGCCTCTGAGCCTCGACAACGCTGTTGCAACTCGAGACGCGTTCGTGAAAGGCATCTACGGCAACCTCTTCGTCTGGATTGTTGCCAAAATCAACTCGGCCATCTACAACCCATCCATGAAGAAGAGCAGTTCCATCGGCGTCCTCGATATCTTTGGATTTGAGAACTTTCAAACCAATAGGTAATTTGGCGTTGCATGTACTATTACAGTATTCCCATTATCTATGAGATCTGATAATTGGCGGATTTTTCCCTTTCAAGAAGTTAAGTCTTCTTAAGAAGTTAAGTTAAGAAGTTACCATTCTTAAGAAGTTAAGAATGGTAGATGACTAAATTATTCGATGGCAATTTCACTCAAGGAGGAAATATGCCTCTCGATTCTGCCTGCACCATAACATCAAGTACTACTCACACGCAACAATTTATGACGATTATATTCTTTCTTTCAGAAGTTTGATAGTTATATTCTTTCTTTCTATATTCTTTCAGTTTTGAACAGTTCTGCATCAACTACGCAAACGAGAACTTGCAGCAGTTCTTCGTGCAGCACATCTTCAAGCTGGAGCAGGAGGAGTACAACGCAGAGAACATCAACTGGCAGCACATCGAGTTTGTCGACAACCAAGACACTCTCGACATGATCGCCATTAGGCCAATGAACATCATGGCCCTTGTGGATGAAGAATCCAAGTTCCCCAAAGTAAAGATCTTTGTCACGTAACTACAATAAGTAATCATTTTAAAATATTTTATTTGGGGGCATTTAAATTTGGTTGTTTTTTTTTTAGATATTTTAAAAAAATTATGGCAATAAATAGTAATATTTTATACCCCCTTTTTCCGTTGGCAAGCCTATTTTTAACTCAAAAGTCATGTGAGTTACAATAAATATCGGATGTAACCATGCGAATGTGTAGAAATTGATAGTTTACGTCGATTTTTGGACATAAAATGGTCAATGTACGTTTATAAAAAATAAAGTAAAGTAACCTAAATCGCTGAACTGCTGCGCATGATTTAATTTTTGCTGGGTGCATCCAGGGCACAGACAGCACGATGGTCCAGAAACTCTATTCGCAACATCAAAGCCACCCGCACTTCGTCCAGATGAGGAGCCAGGCTCAGCTTTCCTTCGGGATACGCCACTTTGCCGGCACAGTTTACTACAGTGCCAAAGGTAAAATGAGTTTAGTGCTGCTCGGGATCACCATGACAATGACTTGATTGAATAAAAGCATTCTGCTGCCTGTGAGACCAGATACACCTGATCGTTCATTTCATACATTCGGATTTCAGTTTTTCACAGAGTGATTTACAGATTGGGATTATTTTTAAGTCGAATGACTACTATTACATTGTTGGAATCAACAGAGTTACACACAGTACATTGAATATGACTACTTCGCATTAATCTACATTCAATTCATGCCCATCTTTGCCCAGGCTTCTTGGACAAGAATCGCGATACGTTCAGTGTCGACCTGTTGAACCTTGTCATTGGACCGCTCATCAAAAACCAATTTCTGAAAAACCTCTTCGACAAAGATGGTAAGTAATTCTAAATTTGCCCAATTACATCTAATCCTTATGGAAATGCTAAATTCATATTAAGAAAAGGGGACTGATACAAGAACAATCGTGTTTAACCAAAAATATTACACTTGTCCGCTTATGTTCCTGATGGATTGATGATAAGATTGTGGATATGATTACCTGTTCCAAATAGAGCTTAAATATAAAGAAAAATCTTTGAATAAATGTAGAAATGATTGAAAACACGGCTAACTTAATTTAATAGTTTGATATAATTGGCGAATATACTCAATTGAACATAAAAACGAATTTTAAACGACCTTAAATCAGCCATAGAGAAACATCGAAAAAAATATAATTTTGTTTTAAGAGAATTTTAATCGGTGATAGGGAATTTTATTGTTAAACTAATTTCAACAGAGTTAACGGGGGGAAGTACGACGAAAAAACAAGCTCGCACGCTCTCCTCGCAGTTCAAGCGCTCACTCGACTCCCTCATGGGCACACTCGGCAGTTGTCAGCCCTATTTCGTCAGGACCGTCAAGCCCAACGAGACTAAGAGCCCCAATGTCAGTCTAGGGCTTTGAATTGAGGAACGGTGCATTTGCACAAAAGTAACAACCTCTAGTAGTGTAATTTAGCAACACAACTATATATGATATATGTACTACATCTTGCAACAAAGCCTTTAAATTGTTCTCTCTGTCGTATGTTGTAAAATTGTTGTAAAGCCGTCGCAGGATTTTGATCACACAATAAGTTACGTTAGTTTATTCTCCGCCGATGCTGTACTTCATATCAGACGCGATTTTATATAATATTTCTAAATTTTAGCGCTGTTCCATTAGAAATCGTCTACTTTGGACACTCATTGTCTACACCGATAATCACCATAGAACTCAAGCATAGTTCTCCACTGACACTTTAGTGGATTGATCGCCTAATAATCCAAGTCCTCCGTTTGTTTTATTTCTTAGTTGTTCGACCGCGAGCTGTGCTGCCGCCAGCTGCGTTACTCCGGCATGATGGAGACCATCAGGATCCGCAGGGCGGGCTACCCCATCCGCCACACCTTCAGGGAGTTCGTCGAGCGCTACAGGTTCCTCATCCACGGATGCCCTCCCGCACATAAGGTAAGAGCTTACTTGCTGTTAACTGCTGTTAACATCTGGTTTGTTTGAATCCAAAGAACGATCATGTAGATTTCTAAAATTTTCAGGAATTCCAAATTAAGTCGTCATTTAGTTGTATATTATTACTTATTTTTGAATTTTTAACTTTTTACACAACTTTGTACATATTTTTGCCATCAATCCTAATGCATAGTTCTGTCATTCGTTGGATAATTTCTAAAATAAACTCTTGACTTAATCATAACATATATTCCGCAATTAATGAATTTTAATTTACAAGGGCGATAACTCAGCATCTGCCAAGCGCATCTGCAAGGAGGTTCTGAAAGGCACGGACTACCAGATCGGGCACAGCAAAGTCTTCCTGAAGGATGCGCAGGACGTGTTTCTGGAGCGCGAACGTGACCGCGTGCTCTCCCTGAAGATCACCATCCTGCAGCGCTGCATGCGCGGCTGGTACTACAGGAAGAGGTATAATTTGACGGTTAACACTCTTCGTGTGCTGACGGGGCCTCTCGGTCCCAAGCCTTTATGTACGAATGGCATTGACGATAGTTAAGGTATTCGTAGACAAAGGGCTAAGAAACAGCTGAATTGGAAGAGTTAGGTTCGTCTTACCTTATGTAAGTTTAATTTATTTTATTAACCATATTTATTTCTTAAAATGACTAAAATTGCTGCAGCGTTACATTTTTTGTAGGAAACTCTGACGGTAATTATTGAACAATGTTTCAAAGAGGGATTTACCTAGAAAATGCACATTAGTTATGATAAATATTTATGGTAATGTACTTTGCGTAAAAACCTGCCTCAATCTCATCGTATCCTTCAGCAATTAATTGAGCATTAGAAATATTTGAAACGTTTATTAACGTTTTTAATATCGATTTAGAAGGGACAAAAATACTTAAGTTAACATTGGTTCTATTGCACCTTCTCAGTAAAAATCAGCTGAGAACAATGCACGAAAAGGAAAAGAATCGGCGACAGGCCACATCAGGCCTACGCTTCAGCGCCGAGATCACTATGTTATGTTATGTTGATCTGAATGCATGACACCTGCCTCATGCCAAGGCAATATGACATTCAGAGAGTTAATATTGCACTTTGTAATTCCTAAATTCTGTTTGCAGATTCTTGTTGATTCAACAAAACGCGCGTTTCCTGGTTGTCTGGTGGCGTTATCAGCTGATGAAGCGCGGCTTCGCACGTCTTCAAGCCGCCATCAAAGCAAGGCGTGCCAACCACAAGTTCACCAACCTCAGGAATACCATTACCGGCCTGCAGGTGACGGCAAATTTGGTTTCTGTGCTTTTATAATTCGTGCTTTTGCATGGGTATTGATACGATTCATTATCATTTTAATCTCTTCTAAGGATTATTGTTTCAGTGATTATTGATCAATTACCCTGGATGCAGGATTGAAGACTTGATGCTAACTTCACACCGCAAAATTTTAAATAGGATCTCGCTCACAAATTAGTCTATTTTTGATGAAGCACTCATCATAGTCAGCGAAACATTCGCTCTCTCTGTCATGCTTCTGAACATGTGGTCGAAATTTTCTTTCTAATTTTTTCATTATTTACATGAACTTGAACCAAAGTCCGATTAAATAATAACGGAAAACATTCACAATGTATTTTTACCTGAAAATTTCAATCATGACTTCTATGATAAACTTGCCAGGCTCGGTGCCGAGGTTTGCTGGCGCGTCGACGCTTCCAGCAGCGGCTGCAGGCCAAGCGTCTCCGTGACAAGGAGGAAGCTGAACTCCGGCGGCGAGGGGACAAGCAACAGGCCAAGGAAATTGCCGACCTCAACTACCAGGTGCGTCTTGGCGAGTTGTTTTTACTGTATTGTTGTGGATTGATCAATTGATATAAATATTAGCTTGTGAATTGATCAGCTTACGAATCGATCTTTTGTTATAAATTTGTTAGCTTATGAATTTGTCATTTCTCTTTATGCAAGTTTAGCACGATGTTAGAGTAGATTATTAATTCTTTTTTTATTATGTGGCAATTTTTTTCAGTTTTATAGCAAAAAAAAACTGTTAAATCCTACGGGCATTCAAAAATATTAGTTTAACAGGATGTAAACTATAGTGCTATAAATTAAACTGGTCCTAATTTCGGTATGAACTACGAAATTCCCACCCGTAAATGAAAACAAAATATAATGGAATAAAATCTCGTGAATTCATAAGCAATTCACAGGAGGAATCTAGGGAGTCACAACGAAGAGAACCGCGGAACTGCATTCAATTTGTGATGTTATTTTGGTTTCATTTCAATCTCATGCATCGTTTCAAAATTACGTCATAATCTAATTTTGAAGGCTAACTCGAAAGCGCTGCTCATCACAGACGTCACATTATTCATATATATTTATAATGCTATTATTCATACATATTTATATTGCTTTTATTCATACATATTTATAATGCTATTATTCATGAATATTGATTATGCTATTATGCATACATATTTATAATAATATTATTCATACATATTTATAATGCTATATCAATATCAGAAACGACTCATGGAGCTGGACGAAACGACGGAGATGATCTCGCCGGTGCACGACGACGAGGACGACGAGAACGTCAACGACCCGCAGCTCGTGGACGAAATGTTCGGCTTCTTGCAGGGCGGCACCGTGCGCAGGAGGGTGAGACTTAAGCAATTGTTAATGTGCGCGTGGTGTGTTCAGCTATCATTTATTTGCTTTAATTCTTATAATTGAGTAGTTATTTAGTCGGTGAATTGGTAATATCACTCGTGAATAATAAAAGCCTGCTTAGCAAATGACAGGACAACGTCCATTAGCCAAATTGTTTCAAAACAGTGAAGCGAAGCAGGAAGAAGCCATGTGACAATGCTATGATTTTTTCTCAGAAAATTATTCTCGGATCATAAGGTTTTTCCATGATTGTCCTTCTCTGGATCAAATGCCGCTGTTGAATATTGTTCAAATTCAATTTTTGTTAAAGTTCTAAAATCAGGCATTACAACAAGGAATTGACCCGATCCAGAACTATTTCTCTAAAGTCAGTATGATGTTTTCTGTAACATTGATACAAATCTTGAACGCAGGGATCGATGGCTCCAATTGGCCTGGAAGAGGCCTTCCCGTCATCAGGGATGCAGGAGGACGTGTCGGAATACACGTTCCAGAAGTACGCTTCTACTTACTTCCAAGGCAACGTCACTCATCAGTACACGAGGCGACAACTCAAGCAGCCTCTACTGAACCTGCAGAACGACGCGGACAGAGTGGTATGAACATAAATATAATACAGTAAAATATAGTGATTTTCAACCGAATCTTAACCAACAGGTCACCTTGCCTATTTAGAACAGAATTATAACATTTTTTTTTCGGTCAAACCGAGCTGGCGAGCATTAAAATAAGTTATGATTATCACAGCTGCAGAAGCGATGCTTCATTGGGCGTAAAGTAATCAGCAAAACACTCGACAACTGATCTTCAGCGGTTATTTTTATATGTATTTTTGTCGAGGGATTTTGATCGATTCAAAATTCATCGAATCATGACCAGATAGAAAATGATTCAGTGTCGTTAACTTATAATGTGCTTGCTAGGGAATTAGATCAACATGGAAATGCTGGTAAAAAAGAAAGAAAATAGATCCTGCATACTTGATAGAAACCGTCTGACAGCATTTTTTACTTAATCAGTAAACAGACAACTGAGTGCAACTTACTGCTATTTGCATCGGAATCATTATTTGAGAAAATTTGAACTATTAATCATAGTCAACAACGAAACAAACATATGAGAATCTTCGACATTACGTTTGTCGTGATATGGCCCTGTTATTATAAAAACACTTTTTTATCGTGCTGATGCACGGAGATATCAGAAATTTAATTAATTTAATAATTAATAATAGTTTTTATCATATAATAATAATCAATTTTATAATTAATAATTTAATATTAATTTTTTATTTCCTCGTGATCAGTTAAATTTAGAATCGCAAATATATCAAATGTAATAGCTTTCGCTTTAGAGCCAGTCAGAAATGAAATAATAGCACAAACATTTGAATAATAACCTGATTATGCAGTATCCAAAGTTTGTCAGAAAAAAATTCTCACAATATGACGTTTAAAGTTTAGTCCAAATTATCCAGTCGCCGTCAAAAATTCAACTCACAAAATCTCGTAAAGATGCTAGCTTGTAATGCTGTGTGATCTCAAGCTTCAATAACTTGTTCATCTTTTACAATATTATTTTTCTGATCAAGCTAACACAACCTGATCTCAGGCGGCATTGGCCCTGTGGGTAACGATCCTGCGCTTCATGGGCGACATGGCGGAGCCGAAGTACAGCAGCGTCCACAAGGACAACACGCCCGTCATGGCCATCATCAGCGGAACCCTGGGCAGAAATTTCGCAAAATCAAAACAATTCAAAGATGCTCAGGCAGCACTGGAATCTGGTTCTGCTGACATGACTGTAAGCCTGAAAAGAACTACTTTATAAATTGGTCATGCTGACTTTAGAGGATAGTGACTACATGAAAAGAAAAATTATCGGTTTAATTTTGCAGTTAAACGTAACGTAACGGAGCCAGAGATTTTAGGGCAAAATTGGATCATTCAATTTCCCTAGTGATTGGCTATCACGCGAGGGTAATAATAGCATCAACAACTGGAAATTTAGAACGAAATGAGTCTGTTATTCTGTCTGTGTTACCGCAATGCCAGGATAAGCATCACAAGCTCATTTTTACGTTCATGAAATTGAACTTCAAAATGTACACCTTTGAATTCCCATGAATGAGCTGTATAATCTCTCTCAATTGGCACAGGAACATAACTTTACATTCAAACCTCGGATTTTCCTCTCGTCTCAACAGAGCAAACAACGCAAGCTCATCTCTATGACCCTGAAGCGTAAAGGGAAGATCACCGAAGAGTTGATTCAACAACTGAAGGGCGGGGACGCGGCTGCTGACACTTATCAACAGTGGCTTGAATCGCGGCCTACTTCTAACATGGAGAAACTGCACTTTATTATCGGCCATGGCATATTAAGAGAAGAGCTCAGGTTGGTGGCAGTGAATTCTTATTAGATACTTTCCTGACTCAGCGTTTTCTAACGTCGTACTAAAAACTACTTACGGTAAAGAAAAATATCTATTCAAACATGTCTCGTTAAGAATCGTAGATGGATTATTTCCTTTCATATCATACTGAATCATAGCTCAAAATTTGAAACATTTATTATTTATTCGCGATACTCAACAGAGACGAAATCTACTGCCAAATATGCAAGCAGCTGTCGAACAACCCTGGCAAATCCTCGCACGCTCGTGGTTGGATTCTATTATCTCTCTGCGTGGGCTGCTTTGCGCCTTCAGAGGAATTCGTCAACTACCTTTACAACTTCATCGACCGAGGCCCCCAGGGCTACGCTCCCTACTGCTACAAGCGACTCAGGAGAACTTTTGCCAATGGATCCCGGACTCAACCTCCCAGCTGGCTCGAACTCCAGGTTTATACTGACTAATGATTGATTGCATTCAGAGTAATCTTGTCTGGAATGAAATATCAGTCGTTTCATGAAGACTTGAACGTGGAAGGGTTATTAGGGAGAGAAATCTCTCTAAAATAAAATTCATATATGTAAAGTAAAATTATAATTAAAAAACATAATTGACTAATCACCGATTATATAATTGTTACAATAAATTGTTTCTATTTAAAGGCCACAAAGACGAAGAGTACCATATCGATCCCGATCACGTTTATGGACGGCACCACGAAGACGCTCCACGCTGACTCAGCGTCGACAGCTCGGGAGTTGTGTAACCAGCTCACCGATAAGGTGTCGCTCCGAGACCAATTTGGCTTCTCACTCTACATCGCTCTCTTCGACAAGGTAATCAGTGCGTCGTTGTAGCACGAGGTTCGTGACAGGATAGTGGAATGATAGATTTGGAGCGTTGATTCCGGTTGTAAAATTTTGAGAATTGAATTTTGGGTGTGAATATCTCGCATTGCGAAGAATACCTATGCCGGATTATCTCGACTCCGGAATATCTCGACTCATTGCAAATAGTGTGAACAAAAAAGATTTGTCCAGAAAATGCACATATATGCATTTGTGCAGATTTCAGAATCATAAAATAGACTTTTTTTTATTTTTTTCTTGAAGGTGTCGTCACTTGGAAGTGAGGGTGAGCACGTGATGGACGCCATCAGCCAGTGCGAGCAGTACGCCAAGGAGCAAGGAGCTCAGGAGAGGAACGCTCCTTGGCGGCTCTTCTTCAGGAAGGAAATCTTCGCGCCTTGGCACGACCCTACCGAGGATCACGTCGCCACCAACCTCATATATCAACAGGTTATTTTGTTATCGTAAATACCTGGAGTAAAACTTCAGCCACTGATTTTCGAAAAGGATTTATAACAGATTGTTCTATGTTATGGAGCAAAAGAGAATGAAGCTACATTTTCTGAAAATTGTAGGAAACATAACCTGAAACGATGTAATTTTAATGATGTTGATCCACCTAAAATTACTAATTAGTAATCATAATTTCTACATTTGATTATACAGTGATCTTATACTGCCTATCCTACAACCATGATCTTCAACTAATTCTAATTGCAAGGACCGTTGCTCTAGATCGTTCGGGGAGTCAAGTTCGGAGAGTATCAATGTGACAAGGAAGAAGACTTAGCGATGCTTGCAGCGCAGCAATTCTACATCGAGTTCGGCGCTGAGATGCACGAAGAGAGACTGCGCAGCAACATTGCGAGCTACATTCCTGACGCATACGTCTCCAGCAGTGACGGCAATCTTGACAAGTAACAAAAACGTTTATGTAGTAAATAGAGTCATGAGTGATGCTACAGAGTTGTAAATTACCCATAACGTATTTTAATTATTACAAATTTCTAAATATGTTTTAATGATGATTACCAAGTATTCAGATATGTTGATTAGAGCTGTCAAGCTTGGAATGCATGCGTTTTTACTGTGTGGTGCTTTTTTTATTGCGGTGCAAATTATGTTTTCCTGAGCTTCATGTTTTCCTTCGTTTCTCAAATTTCGTTATCTCATTGTGAATTTAGAATACAAGGGCGATAAATCCGATTACAATATTGTAATTCGATACAAGATTGTAATCCGATAAATTGAAGATGCTATTCCCTACCCTCTGCAATTTATTAAGTTTGTTTTGCCGTGTTCCTAAGGTGGACGAAGCTAGTGTCCAGCGCCTACAAGAAAAGCTACTACGTCAAGGAGCGAGTTGAGTACCTCAGGCTGAAGGAGGATGTCGTATCTTTCGCCAAGTTCAAGTGGCCGCTGCTCTTCTCGCGCTTCTACGAGGGCGTCAGGTTCTCTTTCCTGGAATTATTTATAATTTGTTGTGAATAATGTGATAAATGTCAGGGTAGATGTGCACCATGATGAACTTACTGAGAGATAAACCATTTAATATTAAACGCAATGCGTTGAATAAAGAATTTAGAAGCAACTAATTCTGTGTTATTGAAAATTAGGATCGCTGGGCCGCCGTTGGAGAAGAATGAAGTCATCATCGCCATCACGTGGACAGGAATTTATTTCGTCGATGACCAAGAAAATGTATGTTACATTCGAAATTTATTTCTGATGCTCCTGCAGTAATTTTGAAACATCATTGCAATATAATTTTTTATTGTATTTTTCGCCTGCTTGAAAATCTTCTGTTTTTCTCTGTTAAAATCACAATACTTTGAGTCCATTAGAACACTGTAAGACGAAGACTCTCCATTTAGAGTGAATTTCTTACAACCACGAATTCGACTACCATTAGTCACTAGATGCAATATTTCTTATGCTTTTGTTTTCTGAGAATAAAGAATTTTTACAAATGACAAAATGTTACAAATAACGAGATGCAATAATTGTTTTCTGACCTCCAGATACTTCGCGAGCTGACGTATCCAGAAATTATTACAGCGACGTTCAACAAAGTTCCTGGTCAAGGCTTGTACGGTCAAACGGTCACGATCGCGACGGTGCGGGGTGAAAACTTCAAATTCCGTTCAGTCAACAGCCAGGACATTCACACCCTCATCCTCTTCTTCATCGAGGGGCTGAAGAAACGATCGAAGTTTGTAGTGGCACTGCAGGACTACAGGTCTCCTGGCGACAGCTCGCTGCTCTCTTTCAAGCGAGGCGATCTCATTCAACTTCAGGAAGACTGCGTGGGGGAAACTGCCTTGAATATGGGCTGGTGTATCGGACGCTGTGACAGAACCAACGAGTCTGGAAACTTCCCCGCTGAAACTATCGTCGTCGTGCCTACAATGACCAAGCCTGACCGCGAACTTGTCGTTAGTTTTATGCTTTCTTTGTGTTTTTCTATCTTCACAAAATTTCTCATCTCATGGAACACCCCAAGATAGACGCAATAAAATAATTATCTACAACCTATTAATCAGTGTATTTAAATTTTTTGTATTGTTTAAATCAGTGTATTTGCAGCTAAGTTGGGAATCATTATTAAAAACTTACTTATTTTATTAGTTAATTTCTTTCTAGGAGCTGTACGCCACAGAGGAGGCAGAAAGAGCTCGCAGAATGTTGGAGTCCGAGGAGAACAATGCAGAACCTGCTGAGAAGATGCACACTCTTGAACGATATGCTGCTGAGAACTTCAGGTCTAATATATTAAATTCTTCTATTTATTCTTCATAAAATTTATCAGCATTCGGGTTTTTAGGACACAGCTAGCGTTCTGAAAGGACGCAATCTAATTCCTTGAAAAGAATTTCTAACTTTAAACTCTTCATTACTGAAATACAATAATTACCTTTATTCAGGCAACAATCGTAATTGAATACTTCATATTCAATCATAGTCTTAATGATCTGAAAAATTTCTAAAGCTTTGCATGGACTTTCTAGAGCTGCGATGGCAGGCACGGTGTCGCGGCGCAGTCAAATGACGGCAGCGCGGAAGGGTTCGTCGGTGCTGTGGAAGCACTCCCGCGACCCTCTGCAGCAGCCGCTCCTGCTCAAGGTAAGATGGCTGTTACATGCTTAGGGAAGTCGGCGACCACAGGTACTTTTATATTATTAAAAATTAGTAATACGTCTTCAATACTTCTTTGTTCAATAAATTTTAATGACAGCACAAAAATAAGCACAAAATACATGATAGTTCTCAACTGAATAAATTTCATGTACCAATAATCAAATTCCATGTACCATTAATCATATTGTCACGCTTAAATGTAGAGTGAGCTTAGAAGTTTGTTCAAATTACTTTGTTAAAGTACAATTATTTCCTCACCTACTCGCAACAAAACATGTCAATCTAAATCCCTACAGGTGTCTTCAAGTTACTCTCTACTTGTCCATGTCTACTATACTGCCATAAACATAACAATAATTATCATCGTCGATATTAACATTGATAATGCCAAAAATATACAGTGAATAATTATTCTTTTCATTTAGAATGCGAATATTATACGTTCGTTGATAATGTCATTTCTTTTTATTTCGTAGGTTCTGGACAGTCAGCAGTTGAGCGACATGGCGGTGGACAGCTACACAGCAATTCTGAAGTACACGGGGGAACTGCCTACACGTTCTGCCCCCACCGACACAGATCTTACCGACAAGGTCTTCAACGGTCCCATTAAAGAGGTGAGATGTTACGCTGTCCTTATGAATACATCGCACTAATAAATCCTACGGAATACATGGCAATGCTGTTATAGTGAATAAGTTGTGGGCAGGGCAGTTGTGAATAGTTGTGGGCAGGGTGGCCCAGTGGTTACAGTTCAGAGTACCAAGATTGACGCACTAGAGAGGCGCGGGTTCGATCCCAGCTCTGTGCGCCAGTTTCTGGCCAGAATCGGCGAGGAGGCCGGGCGGTTAAGCACAGCAGAATTGTAGCAGTGAGTTGCGAGTTCGAGACCGCAAAATGCTGTGAATGTTCTGCGATGTTAAGAATCGGCGACAGGCCTACGGCCTAATAACGCTGAAACCGCTATATTATTATTATTATTATATTATAAGTGGTCCTAATAAAGGGGGGAATGTTCTGCTATCTTGCTAAATGCGCTACATGGAAAAATTTGTCCTAGTAAAGAATTTCAAAATGCTTTGCTGTCCTAATAAATGCGTGGGTGGCACTAACTAAAAAGGAAAAATGCTATATACCATATTGTATGCAAGACACCATCGACACGAAAAGATGCTGTACTGTCCTATTGCATATGCACGAAAAAACGTCATAAACTTCATACTCCGACCACTACAGGATAAAACTTCACGTCAATTATTTCAGACTAGATTGCAAATAAAAGTCTCAGGTTTTTTCTACAATTATGATTTATTTACTTCAAGCTTGTCTGATAAAGATGATTTTCTTTGTAATCGTTTTAATAGGAGTTGCTCCGAGATGAGTGCTACTGTCAGTTGATGAAGCAGCTCACTGACAACCGCAATCGGCTGAGTGAAGAGAGATGCTGGGAGTTGATGTGGCTTGCTACAGGTCTCTTCACCTGCTCACCAGCCCTAATGAAGGTCAGGGGACCAATGTTCACTTTAGGTGTGACAACATAAATGCTGAACCACCCAGTCTTTCCTCTTCCAAATGTCGGGCTTGACTTACTACGACACAAGCAATCTACCAGATGGCGGGCCATGTTTTTAGCGCATTTTCTCATTTATGGAAAAAATGACTATTGTGCTCGCCATGTCCGTCTGTTTGTCTGTCTGTCCGTCCGTCCGTCTGTCCGTGACCTCAAGTTTTCGTCGACGACTAAATGCGCTCTCTGTCACTCACTACTGTGAGTACTGAGTTATATTTTTTATATGCCCTAGGCTAGATCGCAGCTATTTCCGTTCATCGAGGCGCTCCCCGTGTAGCTACAAAAGTGGCCGCCGCTGTTGCAATTATTCTTAATATATATATCTGTACTGTATACTATATATGTCTGCACTGTTATTATTAATATGTATCTTTTACTGTACCAATGTACTTTTGGTGCGCACTCTTCTCATCAGAGGCGAGGTTAAGTAATTGTTTTGCTTCTGAAAAATTATAAGTGCGGCTATTAAAATGAGACCGGTCTCATTGATGTCATCCAAAAATAGGTACCAACAATCTACTATTTACACTACCTACGAGTATCAATTGCTAGATAGATACATTTTACACTATCTAGGATTCTAGTCAACAACGTTATACGACAAAATATTCCATTCGAACAGGAGCTGAACCTGTTTCTGAAGACGAGAAAGCACCCCATCGCCCGAGACGCGATGGTCAGGCTGCAGAAGACGCTCAAGCACGGCCAGCGCAAGTACCCGCCTCATCAAGTCGAAGTCGAGGCCATCCACCACAAGACCACTCAGATCTTCCATAAGGTTGTAAATTAAATCTCTCTTCACGTTCTCCGTTCCATGTATCAGATGCTGATTATTGATGGTTTTAAGTGTCTGCTTCTATATTTTTTTAAGTATTGCGTGGTCTGTGACCCAGAACTGTCACAATGGTGTACTTAGTTATTTGTGTGCTTAAACAATTTTCTTATGTGTTCGTCTAGTTTCTAAACATGGACCATTATTTCAATTTCCAATGGGCTCTAGAATTTTGTAGTTCTTAAACGTATCCGAAAAGTATTTATTTGCAGTAAGCAAACGTTTGCCTTTTACTCTTCCTGGAATTTCACTGAGCGTAATCAATTGCTCACAATGTCGCATCATGGGCGTAAATAAATTTTATTGTTATTCCCTGAAAGAATGTATACCTAATACTCAATTATTATCCACCGAATTATCCGTCCGAAATTGACTCTCGTTCTCTGCCTGGATGCTCAGGTGTACTTCCCCGACGACTCGGACCAAGCCTTCGAAGTGAACTCCGGCACTTCGGCTGCTGACCTCATCGACTCAATCGCTCAGCGTTTGAACATCAAATCTTCGGAAGGCTTCAGCCTCTTCGTTATGATTTCTGACAGGGTTATCTCGGTACCTGAGGAGGATTTCTTCTTCGACTTCGTTCGGCTGCTGAATGATTGGATGAGGAAGACAAGACCCAACCGCGACGGTACGAGTTACATATTGGATCTTGCTTTACATCTATGGGGATTTATGAAACATCGGTGTCAGGCGGCGATATAAAGCGTCACTTGAATGATTATATAAAGGTATTTCTACCTCAGGATAGTGATTCGTTGATTTAGTTCGTGAGGGATAAATAAGAGCTAGACTTCTCTCTATGGAATTTATCTTGGTACGAGGTGGTTATACACGAGAGTTATATTAGAGGTATAAGGCAGAGACGTCGACCGTTATGTCGGAGTAGCTCTAATGCGAGTTACATCGCGGCGTACTAGTCAGTTACAGGGGGCCTTACTAAGGTCAACAGCCCTTTTATAGAATTATAACTTCCATCCACCGGGTTCTTGTCCTCGTGACACATATGCTGTAATAGCTGTTGACTCAGCGTCTGAGGCAAGCTTTTAGTGACACAGTAGACTCAAAGCTAACTAGGTCTGCTGGTAACACACGAGGATTTGTGTCACCAATAACTCTTCGGCATCAGGAGGAGAGAATTCGATGAAGATGCGGACTTTAAACGCCATGTAACGATTTTCAAGAAAAGACCTGGCTTACCTTACTTTGACAATATGATTGTTTCTGTTTCATATCAGTCTGTAACTGGCTTTAATATTACTTTTCTCATCTTCAAATATCTTCATAATCTAGGCAATTATCTTAACATGCGCTCATAGGGTGGTTTAAAGTTCGTGTAACCCGTTCGTACCACCAATTATCCACGACCACTTTCGCAGCTATATTATCAGCTTTCTTCACATTTAACATTCGCATTCGATATCGTAATGCAAGTTATTTACATCAAATACTTGTTAAAATACTACGCAATTGCAGGCAGCAGAGCGCTGTTCACATACCGCGTGTTCTTCATGAGGAAACTTTGGACGAACGTTGTGCCGGGCCAGGACCGTAATGCAGACCTAATCTTCCACTACAACCAAGAACTGCCTAAGTACCTGCGAGGTAATTGCTTAAGCAACAATAAAATAAGCTTTAAGTAATATTCAGTTCAAAGATTAGTGGAGTATTCTTTAGCTTGTAGTTTCAATACTTCTAGTTATTTCGTTTTCTTTTATCTGAACAATAATTTTTAATTAAGGAAATGTATCATGTAATGCTCCCAATTTGGGTATTTATTGGCACGGATACTTGCTTTTTTGGTAATGTTTGCGGAATGACTTTTTATTTAATTACATATATATAAACGGCAAGCAGATGTGTCTACATTAGCAATCGTTTAAATGCCTGAAATCCATGCTTATTTGTAAATTTAAATCCCCTCTTATTTCCATCAGGTTATCATAAGTGTACCAAGGAAATAGCGGCAAAGCTTGCGAGTATCATTTTCAAAGCGCGCTACGGCGACGACAGAGCAGGCCTCTCTCAAGTCGGGTATGTTGAGATATCATCCGCTAAATATATCATTATTTAATTAATTTCTTTATCGGAAAAGGCTTGAAATCCTGAACTTTGTCTCCTGAGTGAGCTATTATCTCCATGATATATGTTGTACAGTGTTGTACAGAGAAACCTCCCACCTAATATGTGAATATATATCCGGAACTTGTGTAGCAGCGACGTGAATAATTAGCTCATGCCACTGATATAAAACAAAGGCATTTACGCTCAATATCAGTAAATTTGTCGATTTTTATAAATCTAATTTTTACTCAATTTAATACGCCGGATTCTTTGGACCGTCGCAGATCCGTGCTGCCCTCACTCGTGCCCGAAGATCTCCTGAAGGCTTACAGCACCAGCGACTGGAAGAAGCAGATCACCAAGCATTTCAATGACACCGCAGGTGCGTTGCTGCTTCGTTCTTTTCATAGTATATCACTAATAAAAACTACCGCAGAATTTTATCTCGTACATAAGATTGAAGTCTCAAGTGGAACTGTTTTTACAGTTTTTATTCGTTATTTTATAATATCAACAGGTAAGTTCAACAGGTCTGTTAGGTGATGTGAGATCATGTGACCGTAGTTCATAATATAAGTAGATTTCAGAGTATAAAAATGTATTTAAAAATTCTATTCGTTATCTAAGGGATGTCGAAAGAAGATGTCAAGCTCGAGTTCCTGAAAGTCATCTTCCAATGGCCAACATTTGGCTCGGCCTTCTTCGAGGTGCGCCAGAACAGCGACCCTCAGTACCCCACGAAGCTGCTTGTGGCCATCAACCGAAACGGCGTACTGCTCATCAACACTACAACGAAGGTAACGTTAGTGATCTGGAAATAGTTAATTATTTCATATATTTCATCTCATTTCAGATAACACACGATAATTCACGGGCAACTAAGAGAGCATTTACTACCAATGCTAAAAAGTGTTACGTTCACGATTTAATTTGATCCTAATAATGTAAAATTTTAAAATTCACATCGAATTTTAAAATTCAATTAATTTACAGGTGATTCTGGAAACTCACCCGTTCACAAGCGTAAGCAACTGGTCGTCTGGCAATACCTTCTTCCACTTGACCATAGGCAACCTCACCAACAACACCAAGCTTCTTTGTGAGACTTCCCAGGGTTACAAGATGGACGACCTCATGTCATCTTATGTGGCCCTTCTTTACACCAACAATCAACTTAAACGTTAATGTCAATCCACACACAACTAATTGTTCGAGAATAATTCAAGTTATTCGAGCAATGTTGAAGCTGGAGTAAACCGCTTCATTAGACAATCGATGTTGTGATTTGTTCGTACAAGAGTCATTTTTCATTGACCTGCAGATTTCGATCTAACGTTGTGTTTTACCTCAAATATAAGTAAGCAATATTGAACTCATTTTTTTAGAAAATACATTTCTAGACAGTAAATTTGTTGATTGAGTTATTCATTTCTAACCGTCCGTTTTCGAAGTTGGAAATACAATAACTGATTCTTTGCTATCGTTTTCAAAAATATCATTATCTATTCGATTCTTTTCAGGGAAAATCTAATTTAATGTTTATTGTGTTGAAATATTATTAATGGGTAGTGCATCAGTTCATTTTTTGTCTATCGATTGAAATCACAACAATCAAATAGAGGCAAATACTGCAAATGTAAGCCTACAACAATAAACTAAAGTCTGTAGTGTAAAGGATAAATATGTTACAGCACTCGCCGAAGTTCTTGTCTTCTACCTGTAATCCCGACTTTTTACTTAAATAATAGTAATATTCAGCTCAAAGATTACGTAGCATAGATTTCACTTTAAATTTAAACTTTTAGTATTTGCATAGCGTGCCTTTTAGAACTAAAATTATTTATGTTTTGTCATTCGTAAAGTTACTCATTGGGCCTAGTGTCTTGTTTGTCTTATATATCATATAAAGTTGATTTAAGTAAGTAGTAGATCATATGCGTATTTTTATAAGTTCAGTTTATCAATCTAAATTTAGCTCTATGCTCTGTTCCCGTCGAAGGAGTATAAACATGATCGGGCACATTTGAAAAAAAATATGCGTTTTCCTCTTGCATAGAACGATAAGCTAATACCATATTCTATTGCGTTAAGTTATTAAAATTTCTTGCATTGCTGTTGATGATGATAGGCATTTTTTGCTGAATAAACTTAATAGAACAATTATGATTTCTTTCCCTTAAGTTGAACTTTCAATGTATACTCCACGAATGTTCTGCGATGTTAGGAATCGGCGAAAGGCCTACGGCCTTGCAAACGTCGAAACCTCTATGTATAATATAATATAATATTACATAATATAATATAATATAATATAATATAATATAATATAATATATTATAATATAATATAGTGCATACACGAAAAAACATGAACTTATACATGCATTGAATGATCTCGATCCATTGATGAATTACTAATGTAATAGTTCAGCGAGGAAACTCTTGTAAAGACGTTCTGATATTAGAATTTCTTTTAGACAAATCTTTAAAATTAAATATCGTGATTAATGCGTTGAAAATTTAGACCTGTTAGCCGGTGACAGATTCGTGACATTGCATACTTTACATAGCAAAAATGCTGTTTTCTAACCAGTACTCACTGCTTCAATCAGCCATTATCCAATCTACATTTCTCCACATCCATAGGCGGAATCGACAGCGGACATAGACGCAAAAGCCCCCGTTTTGGGTAAGTGACCTGCGTATAATCCGATCAATTATGAACTGATCTTGGTGAATTTTATCACACATCGCGCAAATGTGAATTCACACTTATTCGACGTTATATTATATTTCCCTGTTTATGATTAAATTGTAAAATTTCACATTCTGCGCAAATGCCCACCGCATAAATCTGTCAATTCTGAAGCGACTGGGAGGATATTCTAAAAATAGGTCATTAATATAAATGCGCCGCAACGCATTGTATGTATAGCGAAGTATAGTGTCGGTTCAGCAGGACAGATCAAGTTCGGTCTGTTCCCGATTCTTGTTATGTTCGTGACTATTTCACAGGGGATCTATAATTTTTTGCACAGATATTTTCACAACTGACGTTGTAACTAAAATGGTTCTGGATTTTTACAAGGCCCGTAAATGGTACATACTCAAATCTAAACAAATTCGCCTGCACAGCTTAATCTAGTCAGTTCTTGAATACATCCAAACTCGGGGTGTCAACGATGCCTGCAGAAAAGCCTATTACACGTTTCGGTGACTAGAAACGATAAAAAGTATAAAGTAGCCCCCTACCTTTGGGCTTTATAGGTATTTATTAAGAATCTTAGCTGCATAGTGGTCTGCACACTTCTATGGGATGTTAATAGTAATTTTTTGTGAATAAACTTCTCATGCTCCATTAAACAAGTGCTTGAAACATATTTCCCTTTCAGTAAGCCTTTTCTCTTTTTTATTCATTAACTTTCGGCGTATAATTATGACACAACGAGATTCAGTTTCGTTCAAAATGTTGACATCTTGAAATTCTGGCAGGGGCAAAAATGTTGAACGTCTAGACTCTAGAGGCTGCCGTCAATATATTGCGCAAACCATAATGCGCGATAATATTGAACGTCTAGAGGCTGCCGTCAATATATTGCGCAAACCATATTGCGCGATAATATTGAACGTCTAGAGGCTGCCGTCAATATATTACGCAAACCATATTGCGCGATAATATCGAGAAGAGACGAATTATTGTTCAAACTTGCAACCATGGGCCACTAGTTGGTTCCTGTTCCCCATTTTCACTATTAATTCTTCTGCTATCTTTTACAAGCTATTATTATGCTGCATATATATCAATAACGTGATTAAGCAAACGTCAAAAACAAAGACTTTTAAGCTTCAAAAGATCAAGCCTTTAAGACAAGAATTGTCAGTGTTGCCCGTCCATGAAGACCTTCGTCTCATCTTTTGTCTTTTTATAGTTTCGGAGAGTTTCCAGTTTTGATTATTCTAAATTTTACTTTAAATGTGCCTATAAAACATAAACTTCTTGTCGACATAAACTACCAAATCTTCTTCCTCTGTCTAATTTTTTATTACTATCCAATCGTTGCAGAAATGTTTTAACATATTGTATCCTATTGTTTAATCATTTTCACAAGCGTGAAGCACGTTACAGTAGTCAGCATTAAAAGGGTCGCCTGCCGAAGACCACCACTGCCCTGGATGTAATGGACCATCATGATTCCTGCCTTCCAGAACGTAGACTTCAACACTTCTGGACAATCATATCTAGGCCGTGCGTCGAACCAGCCCTCGGTCGAACGGCCACTCGTCGAAGGACGATAAATTTTGGAACAGAACTATGCTATCTGAAACCTAACCTCAGATGCGGTGAACGTAAAATTACGTAATTTAACGATACCCGAAAGTCATATTCAATCCGCGGCCTAGTGGTGCAAGGTAGGTTTTATGCAACGCCGGAGGAGGACAAAGCCGAGTGGTTCACGGCTGATTGGTGGATGTCCGGAGAGATCCAAGGCGTTCGATTCAGGGCTTATTGGTGCACAAAATTGGTGGTGCACGGCTACGCTCCCCATTAAAACACAGATGTCATGTATAAGCCCAGTCAACTCATGTATCGATCATCTTCTCGCAGCTGCACATTTTTCGGCGCACCATGCGCAGAAATTGTAGGCTTTTGTGCTTGGAGCATACCTTAAGCAACACTTGACATTGTTTCTGGCAGACATATTAAAATCAAATACTAGGCCACCTATACGATACCGATCGGAACTAATACAATTAGCTTTTTTCTTGGAAGTAATTGGTTTCATCGTTGGGATCTAACTTAATTTAAGGACACTCGTGAACCTACCTTTGCAGAGTAACGTTTACCCACCTAACTTGAAAACGACAAAATTTAAAAGGTTTGACTAAGCGTTATTTAAGATTATAGATGCCTGCTATAGATCAAAGTTTATCCATGTAAATTTTTTCGATTATCAATTCGTGTACATGATGTGACATCTCAGATGAATTTATTTATTGAAAAGTACATTTTGAATCAATTTTTGAAGTATTAGGAAAGAACCATCTTCTTCTGTTACTAAGTTTGTATAGCTGTGGTAGGTATCAAGGTATCTTATTAAATACTCAATTATAATTATTGCCGACATGACCAGTTTAAAACGAAAATCTCCACATATTCGTTTTGCGTTTCATTTGAGACTTCGAACTGAAATAGTCAGCTGGTTCGTTTCTAGCAAATTCACGTGAATTCTGCTTCGCATTGCCCATCGAAAAAACTGGCGTATACTTTTGGACTATTTTCATTTGTGATATTAGTAATTTGCTCTAAAATTTCTCGTCAAAACAAACGGAACTATGAATACCAATCGATTCAATACCTCTCGAACCCCGAAAAATGTTCCAGCTCCCGTGCCAACTCAATTTCCTCCTAATTCGTCATATTATGAAGATTTGGTCTTTCCATACTGTGAAGATATTTCTGGCTATGAACGGCTCACGAAAATTGGGCAAGGAACTTTCGGGTAAGTTGTGAACTTACAATTAGATATTAGTTTCAATAAAGTTTGTTTTCACTTTTCATGCCAGCAGGAATGAGGAATCCAGCGCAGGCTGCGCAGCAAAGATGTCCCAAAAAAATATTCAACTTATTGACCTAGCCTACTAAACGGTGAATGTCAAACGGTGAACAAATGTTCATAGCAGGATAGAATACTTGAAATTATGGTTTGTATATTATTTTTGATCAACCTCTGCCACTTTTTTGGTCCATAAATTTTAGTTGAGATAGAATAAAAATAAAAAGGATTTAAGCTGCACTTAAAAGAGTCAAGAATGTAGGTAGGTTTCACCATGGTTGCAAGTTGCAACATTGAATATTTTAAGATTTCAATTAGATTAAATAGTAGTTCACTAGCAATTTGTCTCTAACTTCTAAGTCAAACAAAACAAATTAACATTTATGAATCAATAACAAATCATGTCACCAATAAAAGTTTAAAATGATTCACACCCTAAACACTATTTAAGTGAGCAAAATCTCATGCACGTTTACACAATCAGTGCTGGAAAAGTCCTATATTTTCTGAAATATTGCAGCTCCAAAATCATATAATTTCAGTAATCAGTAGGCCATTATGCAGAGCATGGTGGCAATCCATAGGTTATTCAAAAGAACCTGTTCTTATGTCATTTTGAACCGATCAACGCTTCTTTACGGACCGATCGTTAAACACCTTCACCGGCAAAAGCTTTTGCACTTCTGAAGAAAGTCAGCTGACAGCTACACTGGCCGTGGGGTGTGGTGGACCGAATTTGAATTTGAATGCATCCACTTGAAATCCTATCGACTCATTCGACTGTATAGTATACAACTTACAAGTCATAGAGCCTAAATTTTAAATATCTCTAAAAAAAATTTACGTTTCTGCATGTATTATAATGCTGTTAACATTAGCAAACTTTGAATTATCTCTGATGCAAGAAATACTTGCTTAAATCATTTTATTTTCAATATTCCTGCCACCATGATGCAGAGGGTGGATGCAGCGTCGCCAAGATATGGATTTTTAAGCCCAAAGCGTCGCCGGCCATTTTAAAGATGCGTCGCCAGGTAATTTTTAATGAAAAGCTATTTACGCTGAGTAATGACAAATTATTCACAAGCCACGAACTTATTTACAAGGTTGCATGGCAACCACTGTGCAGAGAGTGAACGAAGATTTAAAGACCTACGGCGACGCATTATCGGCAAAATTTTCGCCTTCAGAAGATCTTGCCGACACATTTAGATTGAAATTCTTGCATTTAATATATTTCTCAGTCTTCAGCCAACTATTTAGAAAAAAAATAAGGTTTCTGGTATGTTGGATGGATTACGATGCAGCAAAGCTTGTCCGGAAATCAGTTGCGATGAGTTCCCGCAAAAAATGTAAACAACATTTTTTCGATTGCGTAGTTTCGGTTGCATTAGAGCGGTCAGACTGCTTTATTACTTGTTCAGTTGACACTTGCTGTACAACCGGACTGTTTTTATGGTAAAATTAGTTGTTTGGGGTAACACGTGCATGCAGGCTGGAATTCTAAGAATGGAAGTTCACTTATAAAAAAGCTTTCCACCCAAGGTGAAAAGCTTTCCTTTGATACAGTGCTCTGCCAGGTAACTGACTATAAATGAAAAGGTGGAACAAAAGTGGACAAACTGTTTCAATTGTATAGTACATTAGGTTTGTTATAGAATTATTTGGATGTCTCAAGTTTGATAGATATTTTTATTTTATTTAATGGAATTTTTGAAAATTTTCCATGCCCCTTTGTTTGTAATGATCAAGTTTAAGTTAATTATTTAGTTAACCAGTACTGTAGTACATATACCATATTAGGGGCGGGGCTTATGGGCACAACCAATCACAGCTTGAAAGCATTTCCATCAACCAATCACAGCTAGAAAGCAGATAACATTACAATTCCATTAACCAATCACTGCTGGAAGGCCTCCCTATCAACCAATCACAGCTAGAAAGCAGATAACATTACAATTCCATTAACCAATCACAGCTGGAAAGCTGAAAGGGGCTAAAAATCACAATCCCATCAACCAAATTCACAACTGGAATTCTGGAAAGGGATAGGATATGTAAATAATTGACTGAAAGTGTAAAGTTCCTGGGCTTTCCAAGCTTTCAGGTCCTGCTTTCCAATATGCTATGTGTACTGGTTAATTTAATATCCCTCTAGAATTCCACACTGCGTGCATGCAACCTTGTAAAAAGTTCGTGGCTTGTAAATAGTTTGTCATTACTCAGCGTAAATGGCTTTTCATTAAAAATTACCCGGCGACACATCTTTAAAATGGCCGGCGACGCTTTGGGCTTAAAAATCCATATATTGCCGACGCTGCATCCACCCTCTGCATAGTGGCATGGCAATGCATGCACGTGTTACCCCACATAACTAATTTTACCCTAAAAACAGTCCGATTGTACAGCAAGTGTCAACTGAACATGTAATAAAGCAGTCTGACCGCTCTAATGTGACCGAAACTACGCAATCGAAAAAAACGTTGTTTACATTTTTTGCGGGAACTCATCGCAACTGATTTCCGGACAAGCTTCGCTGCATTGTAATCCATCCAACGTACCGGAAACCTTACTTTTTTTCTAAATAGTTGGCAGAAGACTGAGAATTATATTGAATGCAAGAATTTCAATCTAAATGTGTCGGCAAGATCTTCTGAAGGCGAAAATTTGGCTACTGAAGTGTTGCCAAAGATCTTGCAATATTCATCCACTCTCTGCACAGTGGTCAGTAGGGTAAATGCGGTATATTCCGACACATTAAGGATGCATCAAGAAATGAAAAACTATAAAAAAATAGCCGTATGCATTACTTGAGTTCTGTTTGCTTTACATGACTCTCATTCTCTCAAAACACCACACTACGCGCCAGCAACGATGAAATGTCACAAAGTGTTGCCATATTTATTTAAAAGCCTTTAGAATGCAAACCTACCAAATCCCTATATTCCGACGCTGTGTGTGACTGTGACTAAATTTGGCACATTGTGAGACAAATTCCGGCCGCGCTTCAATTTCAAACTCTACTAATACGTAATTCCGACATCCATGTGTTCGAATTCTGATCGCTGTGTGAGCTGTATTGGAACAGGGCTGGAAAAGTCCTATTTTTGTCTGAAATATTGTGGCTCTAATATCATATAATTTCAGTACCGTAAAATGGGGTAACTTAGACCACTTTTTTTCTTATAAATGATGCCATTTTCTTACTAGCTAAATTAAACTTAAATTGAAACATGCAAAATACATGTCTATACTCTAGCTTCACTCACCATAAATTGCTGGCTCCTGCCTCTCATAGTCTTTATGTAATTTCAAAAAAAGTGATGGTCTTTGTTACCCCAGCTCTTGGGGTAACTTAGACCGGGTGGTAAAATCAATTTTTTTTGGTAAAATAACTCTAAATAACTCCAGGTTTTGGTGCATTGTAGTAGAACTCTTCTAGTTACATATGCAAATGACAAACTTTAAGAAAGTGTCATAGTTTGCAAATGGGGGGCGCCACCCCATAATGAGGGAAATGTGACTACCTAATGGCAGCCCTGATGGGGTAATATTGACTGGCTTGAAAATTAAGTTAAAATTACCATATATAAGACTCTGTAGAGTCTGAAACATAAAGAAAAAACATAAATAGGCTGTCAAACATAAAATATGTTATATATGGTAATTTTATATTAACTTCCAAGCCGGTCTATGTTACCCCGTCAGGGCTGACATTAGGTGGTCTAAGTTACCTACCCCATTTCGGGGCGGCACCCCCCATTTGCAAACTATGACACTTTCCTAAAATTTGTCATTTGCATATGTAACTAGAGGAGTTCTACTACAATGCATCAAAACCTGGAGTTATTTAACCAAAAAATAAAAAAAATTGGAGGGGGTACTCTGACAGGCTTTAAATAATAGCTTTTTTTCGTGAGTCACATTTTTAATTTTCTAACCTATTAGATATGCAAACTTTTCAAATCTTTCTATTGTGTTATGTAGCCTCAGTATTAGGCCTTTAATGCCCATTGACAAAATTTTCTATGTCAAATAGTTTTTGAGTTGTGGGGGTTTTTGTTAAAAAAACAAAAAGTGGTCTAAGTTACCCCGCCGGTCTAAGTTACCCCATTTTACGGTAGGTATGAAATCTCGCGGCTTGAATGTCATAAATTTTTGTTCATTTGAAAAATCGCGGTTTGCACTTTGCAAACATGTCATTTCATAAAATTGTCAACTTGCGCAATACGCATTGCTTTACCATTCCCGCCAAAATATCTTGCAGAAAAAACATAAACATCGTAATGTAAACAAATCAACTAAGTATTTTGTTGAAGATCGCGCATAGTTGCGGGCATGTCAAAGTGGTCAGACTGCATTACCATGTGCTCAACTTACAGTAAAGACAAATTTTATTGTTGCGGTTTGCCTGTTTTAGGGTAAAATTAGAGATTTGGGGTAACATGTGCTTGGACATTCTAAATAAATTTGCGCCTTGTAAATGGCTTTTCATGGCTGAGATATGGAATTCACGGCTCGGTGAAATGGAATCACGGCTTGAAGAAATGGAATCATGGCTGGCAAGTCCATAAAACCACGGCTCAAAAAATTCAGTCGCGGCTTGCCAAGTAGATATATTTCATGCCAGCATTGGAATATGACATGGCTTTGAATTAGAACACTATTGAATATTGAACACTACTTAATTAGGTTTTTAATTAACGGCTATTAAGCTTTTAATTAAGAAAATTTTAATTTTTGCACACAGCTTGGAGCGAGCTGTGTGTGTCCAATTCAAGTTGTGTCGGAATTAGTTTTTATGTGTCTAAATCTGTTTCTTAACTTAATCATCTATTAATTTATTTACCACTTGAAATCAGCAAATACAAGTAGGTACCGGTATACTTAAAGGATTCCTAATATATTCACAGATGTATTTAAAAGTCTCAAACCATAATATTTTTTCTACACAAGCAGTTTATCACTATTTGGTAGAGCAAGGTCAACTATCAACTTTGACACATTTTTCGATGATCTCACTGGGTAGCATGCACTGTCTCTCTTTGTATCTCAACATTTTCCCACCAGACAGCCCAAACCTATTGTTTTGGCAATAGTTTGGTGCGCAAAGGTATGACGTCACTATTTCAACCATCAACAAATGCGTGGAACTAAGACAAAGCTTAATAGAAAGGAAAAACTAGAGAGGTGTCGGAATTACCCACGATGTCGGAATATAACGCGTTTACCCTAGGTATGGAAATCTCGCAGCTCTAATAAACTTTCAAAAACTTGTGATGGGAGACAAAATCTCTGTCAGAATCTGAAGTGAAGTTATTTACAAATAGGGCAATAGCATGAAGTATTCATATCTAGATGGGAATCAAAAGTTGTTTAAATTTTGAAACAACTTTGCTTAATTTAAAACTCTGTGTGGAATGTGGATCAAATCTATTTATTGTGAAATCAAATTTGACATTACCAAAACAAGGTATGGGACACCATTGTTTCATATCTACACATCACAGCACAATGTGCCAAATGCTGTGAAAGATTTGCGGTTTATCTCATCATTTTGTGGTTTCGCAAATTTTGTTGGTATTAGTAAAATTATGAAAATTTTCTATCAAAGCTGACATAATTTTCTTTATTTTGGAACATATTCTTTGCAAAAATTTGTCAGTTACAAATAATTGACTAGGTAGTGAATAAAATTGAGTAAGGCATTACTGACCCAGTATCCGATTTTGAACTATGCATGATATCAGAATCACCACAGTTTCTGATTAGCTTGGTGTATCAATTGTCACCGCTGTGAAAAGTGTAATGTGGAAGGCTTTTTGATCCATTTTCTTATATAAACATGAGAATATATTACCTATCCAGAATTCAACACTGGTTCGTAAGTCATGGACTTAAGGTCATTATATCAACATCAAGCATCATCCTAAAAACAGCATCAAACTTGATGAAACTGTAGCTGCTACTGTGCTGCAAGAACCTAACAGCATCATCTTCATGTTCAATATTGTTCATGGACTTTCCTGACATCTCACTGAGAGAAATGGGCGGGTCTGGATGACCCACTTTGATGAGTCAACCGCGTCCGAAAATCGATGCACTTTTTTGACTCACTTGCCCCATGTGTGTGTCATACTGACCCATTAAATTTCAAGCATGACTCACTTGTGGCGTTAAATCGCTCTGACGCCCAGATGCTAACTACGTATCCATGCTACGGGTGGCGTCATAAGGGATTTGACGTCACAAGTGAGTCATGCCTGGAATTTAATGGGTCAGTATGACCCACAAATGGGGCAAGAGAGTCAAAAAAGTGCATCGATTTTCGGACGCGGTTGACTCGTTAAAGTGGGTCATCCAGACCCGCCCATTTCTCTCAGTGCTCTACTGACTGGTCTCTCTCTAGCTATCCATCTCATAACTACGTACTGGACTTTCTGATCTTTCAGATGGTTTCAAAATTATTTTCATGGTTCTTTTTCATATCACATCATATTTATGTGTGTCATATACGGTACTTATTTCTACCAAAATTCCAGTATTCAATGCTTTTATGACGGGATGCTCATTTCGTGGTATATTTTTTTTTATTTGTACGTTCTATTAATCCTGTGCTAGGTTAGTGACCAGTCAATTGATGTAACATTTATTTTGTGACTGAAATAAGGAACTTCATTTAACTGTGATATTATTATTTTGTTAACTAAAGGGTTTAATTTATGATATAAATTGTGTGCCTTGTATAAAGGAATTGTGTATCGCCCGAAGATCACCAATATATTAAGAAAAGTTCCTCGTGCTTATTCCTCCTCTCTCCAAACGCAAGGGAATTTAGAGCCGGACCAAAGAGCGACTCTTTAGCCCTTGTGTTAAAACCAATACGTAAGTCACCGTCAAGTCGGCACGCTACTCATAATTATTTCAACTTCGCGGCGGTGTTTCCGGTCACACTTTCTATAACTTGAAAATGAATGTTGTCACATTTGAAGCATCCATGATAAATTAAACTTACCTACTTCCTAAAACCTGCATTTTGATTAACCAACATCATCTGAAAATTTATATCAATGAATTCTATAGTCATTAACCACCCTAGTTTGAACAAGCTTTTTTTGCCATCTAATACTAATTTATAGATATAGGTACCTATATATACCATATAATATATATACCTACTTGGGGTTCAAAAAATTCTATTTTGTACAGTCGTTTTATTCTAGTATCACAATCCAAAAAACAGGAAATGATCCACTCTTTGGGCTGAAGATAATTTTTCAAAGCCTAGAGTCAAAGAATATTGTTACTTGCAGTCATAATGAATAATTTCAATAGTTGAAATTTTATTTCAAGCTGTGTATTTTTCCATGCTTAGGTATACAAATTTCAAACTTCAGATACTTACATCTTCCTAGACTGTAACATAAGAGTATGCTAATGTATTTTTACTCATAAGGACAGTGTATTGCAAGCAGCTACTTTAAAAACATGATTAGAGTCTGCAGTGTACTGTTACTTATGATCTTAACATTTTTTAGGGAGGTCTTCAAAGCTCGGGCCCGCGACTCTGGCAGAATTGTTGCGCTCAAGAAGATCCTGATGGACAATGAAAAAGAAGGGGTAAGTCAGGTTAATTTAATTCTAATTTTTCAGTCAGGATTGATTTATTTTCAATCTTTTTTCAGTTCAAAGTACATAGTTTTATCTATAATTTTGAATATTTAATGAACTTGTAAAATTAGTCTTTCATATTTTTCATATAAATGTACAGATATATTTACAGAAAAGTGCTGGTCACTATCTCAAAATTCTCTGACTAATTTTTAGTTTTGTTTTTCCTGATTTGTTTTTATGGCTAAGTTAATTAATATTGCATTTTTAACATCAATAGTACCGTACCTAGCCATTGTTTATAGAGAAAACATTTTGACATTTTAGGTATATAATTGGAACATTTTGTTTTTAGTGTGCATGATTTGTTTAATTGTAAGGCACCTGCCATCATAACTAAGAGCCAGTTTACACTTCATTTGTATTTGATATTAGCAAGTTAGTAGGTTATTACAGCATTGCCCCACATTACATTAAGTAAGCCTTGTAATTGTTATTCTAATATAATGTTGTTCTAATCTCATAATTTAAAATGTAAATTCATTTCCAGTTTCCCATAACTGCTCTTCGCGAGATCCGTATTTTAAAGTTGCTTAATCATGAAAATGTTGTGAGTCTACTGGGCATAAGCAGGCAAAAAGGTGAGACTATGGGAGGAACTTTTCTATTTTATACTATTTTTATGCTTATCCAAAATTGTCTAGTGTGCCTATGCATTCTGAAAGAATTGCTGACATGAATCTTTTATAAAAACTGTAGAATCTAAAGTTACAAATTCTGTTCCATTCCAAACATTTAAAGAGTATCCTGATCTACTTAACATGTTGTTAATACGGTAGTGTTTTTTTTTCAGCTAGCTTGAGTTGAATTTGACTCTAATTATGTTCTTTCCTTCTTTTATGTTACAGGGTTCCAGCACAAAACAGCTGGCAAAGGTTGGTTAAACACCAAGGTTATAATAGATTAATTTTTTCTTAAGATGATATAGGTACTATATACCTACCTACTGAAGTACGGTACAATTTCTTAGGTGACTGAATCTTAACCAAATTGTTACAAATTTCAAGTTAACTGTTGGCCCATGAAAATTTTGTGGATTAAAAAAACTTCTTTTTATTGATTTGTGAACTAATAAATCATTTTTTATTTCCAGGAAGTTCCAACAAAAACAATCCAGGTCAGTCAAGACAAACAAGCATTTTTTTTATGTTGATTAATTTCCCTGCATAGTACCTTTACCATTGTTAATACTTATTTTCATGCCATTCATTTCAGTGAAGTTTCTTTTAAATGTACATTCCAAGTTATGCATTGTGTATAATATTCTTAAATATTATTAGATTGTTTGCTATTAAATACATCCATGATTATATTTTTATTGATTAAAAGCAATGTAGAATGTGCAAATAATTTTCAATCAATCCAGTTCTGTATGAAATTTGGGTATCCATATTCATGATAAATTTAGTATCCAAATTGTCCAAGTGAAAGAATTTCTTAGATAATGAATTTTTTATTCCAGGACCCCCCTTTGGTATCAACGTGTCAATGTTTTTTCTGGTCTTTGAATTCTGTGAACATGATCTTGCTGGACTGCTCTCTAATGTTGCAGTCAAGTTCAACATGGCTGAAATCAAAAAGGTTAGTGATGATAAGCTGTACCGTACATTCAGAGTTTGTTGAAAAGTTTTAGAGATTTTAAAATCATTTTTTGAACTGCTTGATAATTCATTGATCACTTTTGGAGTTACGGTATATTTGTTCTACATCTCTAGGTGGAAGTGTATTTGTTTGTAGGTATAATAGAGGAAGCATGTAAATTGAGTGATGTTAGCTTAATTTATTTATTAAACTTTTGTTATAAATTGATAAATATTTGACTTTCTCATTACATCATCTCTGAAAAGAGCCAACATATTGAATGTATTAATTCGTATTGAAATCATGTAGATATGTTGAGCAGGAATGCAGCCTCCACCAAATTTACTCATATCAATCTCTGAACGATTTAATGTGCAGATAATGCAGCAGCTGCTGAATGGCCTGTACTACATTCATTCCAACAACATCCTCCATCGTGACTTGAAAGCTTCCAATGTTCTTATCACGAAGAAAGGTGTTCTCAAGCTTGCAGATTTTGGTCTGGCTCGAGCATTTAGTAAACCTAGGAACCAGAAAAACCGGTTAGTTTACATACTTAAATAAGTGAGGTACCTAGTTGTGGATGAGTTATATTGATACTTAAGTCATGCTTTTGTTTTTTTTAAAGAAATAATTTTTATTTGAGTTAAATTGAGTGTTCTGCACATACTCAGTGAGAGGTTATGGTCTAGTGGTGGAATTTGTTTCTGGCAGTGCAAAGTATTCTTCAATAAACTCAACTATAAACTCCAAAATTATGCAATGCAAATATACCTATGTCAAATACATTGCAAATTCCATTTTCAATTCAATCCCCTGCTGATCTGTGAATTTAATGTAAACTATTCACCAGAGATTTATTTTTAAATTAAGACTTTTAACCATTGACTCCATGTTGTATAGCTTTTCCCAGCATTCTCTCATATATTTCATGAATATACTATACTGCATCAAGTGCGTTTTTTTTTTGCAATGTCAATTGTCAAGATTGTGTCATGCTTATGCACTGATGGTGGATTATGATTGCTTGACAAGATTCTATTCTATTCTGTCATTTGAACGGGAAGTTTTCTACCTGCCAGCTCCTGTTAACTGAGTGCCATTAAATTTGCCCTGAATCAGTTTCTTTTTATTTTAATGATCTTGTGTTCATTTGCATGGTAAGAGATTACACAATTTGGTTCCTTGCTTAAGCGTGATTATATGTGTACACGCATGTATTTGGTTGCTCATTTGAATTTTATTACAATTTATGGTTCACAAAGCGATTAGGCTATTGGTTGTTGATTGATTATACTTTCACGTACAAGAATTGTAGATATTTGGTTATGTGATCATGCACGTGATTATACTTGCATATCTACTTTGTAAATATGCACGTGTTTATTCTTCCAGCTACACAGGAACTGTGTAGATATTTGGTTGCTCATGTGCACGTGATTATACTACCGGTACACTGGAACTGTGTAGATATTTGGTTGCTCATGTGCATTATACTTCCAGGTACACAAACCGTGTGGTGACGCTGTGGTACCGCCCTCCGGAGCTGCTGCTGGGAGAGCGTAACTACGGACCTCATGTGGACATGTGGGGCGCGGGCTGCATCATGGCAGAGCTATGGGTGCGCTCCCCTATCCTTCAGGTAATTTTTTAATCAACTGAAAGTTATAAAAAAATTTGAATATTTGTAGTGATGTCACAGATCAAACGACTCGTCCATTTACTCTGAGTAGGCAAAGGTGTTAGGCCACCACCGCATCTTTATTTCGTGCCTGGAAGTTTCATTCTTATTTGGATTAAAACAACATTGAAACCTGAGTGTAAAGCTAAAGACACCATTTATCACGAATATATGATTAAACTACCCAATACATGCTAAATTTTTCAAATACTTTATTGTATTCCCCACATATAATTTCTAGAAAAGGTATTTTTCTAGCATAAGGTAATACTCTACAAATGAATATTATAACAATGCCTACACCAAACAGCCATAATATGCCATGAGTGTAACTTTATTGTTTCTTTTATGTTCATTTTGTAGCCTGTTCACTGAAGGCACAATTAACGTGTAATTATTTTTTACCTGACATTTCTGTAGTTTGATGCAATTTTTATACCGGCTTTAATTTGTATTGCATTCGTGTAGTAATGAGTTGTTACAGTGTAGTTCCATTGAAGCAGTGTATGAATTACATATTTGTACACTGTAAATTGATAATCAGTCTGAGTCATTTGCGTCTAGTATATTTCATAAACTTTATTGATGATGCATTCAATAGATCCGTTTGCTGTGTGTTTGCAGGGCGAGTCAGAGCAGAGACAACTGTACCTCATATCTAAGCTCTGCGGTTCCATTACTCCTGAAGTTTGGCCTAGTGTCGTGGAGCTAGAGATGTATGGTAAAATAGAACTACTTGCCAATGCACCAAGGAAAACCAAGGACAGACTATTGCCATACATCAAAGACAACTCGGTAATTGTGTGCAGTTCATAAAATATTTTACAAAATTTTTATAAACATCGTCATCGTCGTCACCTTTATATACTCGTAGTTATTGTAATTACATTTAAAATGCGTTGTTGTAAATATTCTAAGCATTAAACTTTTCTGAGTGTACATTCGAATTTGGCTTGGCTCTTTCAGAAAAATTTTTCTTCATGCAATAACTCCAGAGCCCGTCATGGTGATTGTTATTGTGTGAGCAATGGTAATTCTCATTCTTATCTTTGATAATTCTTGTTAACCACATGTTGGTTGTGCTATTAATTGACTCAACTCACGCGCAGGCTATGGAGCTCATAGACAAGTTGTTGGTACTGGACCCAAGCAAGCGCATAGACGCGACCTTGGCTCTAGACCACGACTTCTTCTGGAACGATCCCCTGCCAGCTGACCTGTCGACGACGCTCTCGCATCACACCATGAGCATGTTCGAGTACCTCGCGCCTACGCGACACAGACGTGGCGCCATTAAGCCAGCGGGACCGCAGCAACAAGTCATGCCGCCCAGGAATCAGGACAACATATCTTCTTACCAGGAGAGAGTTTACTGAACATAGTAGGTGGTTATTCCGGCCAGTGCTGTGGTGGAAATTCCATTGCCAGGTCGTTGTTATAGTCGCCTCACTCTTCCCTCATACATGAAATTAATCGATTTCTCATGTCACTTGTGTTAGCGGGTTAAATCGTGTACCAAAAGATCTGCTATTTCGCAAGGCTGGCCGCTTGTCCCTTCATAGTGATATGAAAAAATCGAAATTCAAAGCTTTTGAATTAGGTTCAGAGCTTCATGAATTGAATTCATATGTCATTGAATAGGATTCCATGCTGGTATATAATGCAGAAACAAGGATAAGAAAAAGATTTCCAGAAAGGCTCCCATTCATTAGTTTGATCCCTGTGCTTTACTGCATATGAAGGCTGTTCCCAATGTTTTGATCGTGATCAGCTGAGTACTTTTAACTATTTATTGCGTAATTTAAGGACAAATTAATTAGGTGTTGCATACGAGAAGACGATGTTGCCGTTTCTGGTGTGTCGGACTCAAAGAAGTGTTAGAGTTAACTTGTTGCTTTCCATGTTGTATTATTGTGAGAGCGCGGAGGAAACTCCTGTGCAATTCATGCTGTTCTTGGGCAACACGATAATAATGATTGAGAATTTAAAGCAGCCAATACGCAGTTTAAACTAGAATAATTTGTTTTCTCGCGTTTTTCTGTGTTTTCTTGATTTGCTTTAGTTAAAGTTTATCTGAAGCTCCACTATGTCAAGTAAATTCCAGTATATTTGGCCTTGTAGTGTCTCCAACGTATCTCACATCAGAAATGAAGGTTTGGTGAACGTTATATTTCATTACATGGATTCACTGTCGTTTACGTAAAAGTTATCATTATCATTTGCTGCTAAATAAGCTAATTCATATATTTTTTTTTCCATGAGGATGTAAATGTTATTTGCCGTGAAAATACGGTATGACGTGCTCCTGTGAATTTTTACTGAAATTTCGTATTTTCTTAGTTTTCTGGTCCGTAGATTAGGAAAGGCACGTTTTCAAGGCCTAGAATTGCGGAAATTCTGAGTGGCCATAGTATAAAGGTCGATCCCTAACGTTTGAAATAAGCGGCTTTTTTTGTGGCGAAAATTTTGAATTCTAAAATGTTCAAAATTGTCGATAAAAAATTGGAACAACCAATAATAACAATTATTCTTCGAGTCAGTAAATTATCTGTTATTACGATATTTCCCTCCTGTTCTCCGGACTCCTGTACATGTGAATAACTAGTTTTCATATTCTGCCTGCAGTTTGATCTGTCGAATTTTGACATTCTTTTAGATGTTGGACTCAAGCGTTTTCATTTCTGTACGCAGCAAACAAAAAAATCCATATTTACTTTAGTGTTGTTGTTAACGTCACGGGTTATTGGTTTCTGTGACAGCGTTCAGTTCAGCCGTTAGTGTACACCTCTCTTCTTGAAGACGTCATTTGATAATAATTGCCAGTAGATGTAATGCAAATGATGGCACTCGGATCTGTGGTTGTCAGGGAGTTTTTTGGCGACCCAGGTGCGCTTTGTTTGCCCAGCGTGATTTTGTTATCAAAATTAATTATCTTTAATGGGGTAATCTTTGTGCTAATGGCTCTTGTGGAGTGTCCAATATGCTCCGTTGATGTCAATTATCATAATCGCATATTAGCTGTAATTGTTCCACAAATGGTGCTCTATCGTAGCAGTCAGAGCAAGTCCGGGGGTGGGTTTGTACTAAGAATGGATTTTGGTTTCGTGATATAGTGATCTGAAGTTTGTTCTGATTCGAGCAATGATAAGGAAGTGATGTCTGTTTAATTAATTGAATTTGTGCTGCCATTTACCAGGTGCTTCATGTATAACCTGTCTTGTGCCCATTGTCGATATGCTATCTAAACTTAATAATTAAAAACTGCGGAGCCACCATTTAAAAAAAATTTAACATAACGTTTCTTCATGTGGTATAGCAACTAATTTGCATTATGATTATCATCTTATCGATTTAAAAATCTGCGGTTTTTATGTTGTGAAAATGCGAAACGTTACAGGGAATAGGTGTCTGTGACAGTTAATGGTTAAAAAAGAACTTTCTGAATCAATTGAGTAGATACCTCTATGCTTTACTTCAATACTGTTCTCACCAAAACGCAGGGTGTAGGTTACACTCGGTCACGCTACGATGATTTAAAACTTCTTCTACTCGTGTTTTGTGGAAGTTTTTGACCCAAGCAAGTGCGAATGTGACCAGGTGCGTATCATTTGTTAAAATGATATCCCACGTGTACTTGAACCACTTTTCTTGCCTCTTAGTTACAGCGTTGATAATGATGATAAATGTAGCAAGGGGTCCGTAAATATCATTCGCTTTTGTCATCTACGGTTGCCGGCTCTAACAATCAGTTATCAGACTAACTGAATACACTTAGGGTATATCAATATCAATTATAAAAACTGCTGAATTTTTTGCTTTTGTGTTTCCCTGACCATTTATGGATCGAACTGGTATATTTTACTATATGTATATCGATCATACTCCGCTTCCAGTTTGTAACCAAGGGATCTGTTAATCGTTCCACTAATCTTTTAATTTTTATAATTACATCTGTACTCTTAATAATTCGTTAATTTCTTTGAACTCAATTAGATTCGAAAGTTCATTAAAGTAAAGAAATTGGTTGAGCTGCTTATCATCTTCAGTTTTGATATATTGGCCCACTTTATCTGGAAGTTCCGTGTTAGTTTACGTTTCAGCTACTGTTTCCAATGTGTTCATTATTGAAATTTCCCTACTGAATCTTATTTGGTTTCGATATTGATGTCACGAGACCAGGTTTCATTAGATTTATTAGTTGAATTCGGTGACGTAGTTAAATGTAGGAATAGAGCTTTAATCGCTTAGATTACCTTCAAATTGTAAGTAGAACAAGTAAATTTAGGCTACTTTAAAATATGATATTTCACTGGTTTCCAGCGTGTCTATGGTTGTGCTTGTCCAATTATGCTCTGAAGAACATAGCGATACGCTAGCTGTGCGCTACTTGGAACGCCATCAGCTGACTGTGCTCCGTTATCTCTTGCCTGTCTGCTTAATTTTATGGTCATCTGTGATAATGTCATCGGTGTAAGGATTTTCTACAGGTTTTCCATGTAAACAATGTTAGAGGAATGTTAAAACATAGCAATGACAAGTTCTGTGTTTTTATTTCAATTCCTTGTCCATAGGGAAATCCGCATGTCTTGTTCGAAAGGCTGGAGAGGAAGTCTATGTAGTTTGGATTCATTGATGGAAAACTTATGAATACAAAGTTCTCTTGCGAGTGTCATGTACTAGTTTCTGCGTTTTAGTCGTGCGGCTATTTTTTTTACGTAGCTGGAACAATTGTGTTAACAGCATTCTGGCTGAACTCCGTCGGGTTCTTGTTTATCAAATAATTAAGCATCACAATATTTATTTATAACCTACGCTCGTTGACCAGCGTAATGAATTTCCAAAATGTCTTCAAAGTTTCAGCCTTATATGATGTTTCAACATCATTAATTTAATGTTTCAATAAAAAAAGGTTGGTAATTCTGAACACTAAAACTGTATACTTGTTATTCGAGACAAGTCCAATTGATTGACGGAAGTCACTATTTCTATTATTAGTTAATTTTTATTTTGTTTACGTTGAACCTGTTTAATCTAGGCAAGCTCCGACTAAATCAGGAGCTCTAGCTGAAAATGAAAAATTTAAACAAAAGCCGAACATAGTTCAGTGCCTACTGTTTATTTCGCGAGCACTTGGCTGTAGAAAGTCGTGTTCCTACAACCTACCTGCTTCCTGTGTTGCTAAGTGCTAGCCAGTTACCGACAATTGAGCAGCTGACGACGAGCGTGGCAGCCATTGCGGTCCACGGCTACACGAATTGCGATTCGCGATGTCGATGCTGTTTCTCCAGGCTCTACTACTATGACGGCACTAGACTTGAAGCATAATAAAATAAACACATAATTATGACATTTTTGAAATTCCTAGTACAATACGCGTTCAGCAACAGACTAGATATAGCTATGGAAAAATAAATGCCTAGCACCATATCGAAGCCGGTGGAAGTCTAGTAGCTATTTCAAACTATCGTCAGTCTTGAAAAGATCCGGTCAGATGACACGATTTTAGATCTTCTGTGAACAAATCACGAAAAGTTCAAGAATCGGCGTCAGGCCACATCAGTCCTACTCTTTAGCGCCGACATCACTATGTTATGTTAATATGTGGAAGTTAAATTTATTCACTAGTTTTTACGTCTTTTAAATCAACTCTTTCGCTTAACTAATCTTTTTCTTATATATTTCATAACCAAAATACTGTCTAAACTGACATTTTACTATCAAAATACTGTCTGCTTGCTTAGTCTACCTTGGCAACCCTGGGCGTCTAAGTGATACTTTCTTCTTCGGGTTCACTTTCTAACTGCAGCGCAATCGTGAGCAAATTTATGTGATGCAAGTTATATGCGCATGATATCATATAAACAATGCGTGTGGGCAAACTTTGAAGTTTACTTCGGTGATTGGGTCACTACATAGGCACCAGCTTAAGCTACTTAAAGTTGCTAAAGCCTCGAAGTTGCTGTCGTTACTAAGCTTGGTATATCAGAATTGCAAATTTGAGCAACCATTTACTAAATTAAGCCAGAGTTCCTCGTTAAAACACCATTGTTAAATCTTTTATCATATGTACCGTAAGATGAAGTTGTGCGGCAAGTCAGTCAGATACAGTAAGCCTCTGCCCTTTCGACCACGGAGATGTGACGTTAGGACCGGTGCAGCCACGGTGGTGCAGCTTGTGCTGTGGGAGCCAAACAGGCTCTTCTGGCGGTAAGGCTCTGCCAAGTTTCACTCGATGCTGGCCACTGAGCTCCTCAGCAGTTTTATTTCCAGCATTTTTGGACCGAAGCTGCTACCATCTTCTTAAATAATCTCTTGCACACTGTCTTGCAAATCTAATTTATGAGGAATTGAGAACGATACGCATTTTTTAAGAAAGCTTGTTGGTAAATAAGCGCATAAGTAGCACTAAGACACAGATTGAGATTATTGAAACGAAGTTTTTACAAGTAGAGTTTCAAGTTAGGAAGGTCTACAACAAGTTGCACTGCAGCACCGATGTACGACGATTCAGCAGCAACCGCTGATTAAACATTGCACGCCGTATGGCAACACTGACTGCCAGTGAAAGTTGGTCGCGGGCGACCACGAAGAACCTGTTGAGCGATCAAAAGACCGCCACACATGCGCATTCGTTACAGTTGTGGCCAAACAAAAGACCTGTTCTTTAAGACGGGGCAAAGATCGACCCAGTGCATTCTTGGCGTTCAATGTGGCACTTATTCGCTGAGGCAAAGCAACGGTTCTGAGTTGTAGGCCGCCGGTTGTCTACTTACATCATCTTGTGCAAATATAATTTTCCGCATTATTATCTGACGCAAAAACCCAGGTCTTCTATTTGTATATGTAGTAAAGATATACCCTTTACATTCATTAATAAATAGCGTGATATAAGGATATTCTATCCTAATGTGTTATGCATAATGCTCGAGCTTATTTTACTAAATGAAAAAATTACTACTAATCTTTGGCATTATTACTTTTCGAAATTTGAACATCCGATTGTAGAATTAGCGAAAAGAACGCAAAAAATCGGTGCTAATGCCAACAATGAAAAACGCCAGCGTCATGCATTCATAAAAAGTATGAAAGGTGGGCTTTTGAGCGACTGATCTTCGCGACAATATCTTTCCTGCTGCCGGTGCTAGAGGGAGCCTAACCTAACCTAACCTTCTAGGCTCCTTGTGACTAATTTTCTCCGTAAACAGAACTGTATGAACGCGAATGAAAAATGCTCAAAATTTCTGTTCCTAGTAAAACCTATCTTGATTTGAATTGTGGGCATCATTTGAACATCAATTAAGAGGAACTGAGAGTAGACATATCGAAATATAGTCCAAGAAAGCTCAAATAGTTAAGATGTGTGTGATACGGACTATAGATGACTGAGATTCTGTTACACTTAGTATGCCTTAGTATGCTTAGGATGCTTTTGTGCTCAGGCGATGATTTATTTGTGAGATTTCTTCTATGAATGTCTAAGACAGCTCACATTTTTACATACAAATAAAGATTTCACGTATTAGCTGTACACCAAAATTGAGTCAATTAGTGAGAAATAGAACTAAATAATGAGGCAGTATTTTGAATTTATTTCTAGCTTCCTCTAGAAGAGTTTATTTTGATAACGATCGCTTTCGCTACTGCCAGTCTGATAAGCGTGGCGCACAAGGCTCTGACGCGCAGCTGAGAGCGAGAGTGTGACGATCAGGAAAGTGTGCTACTGAGTGTAAGTGCTGGAGGAAAGTGAGAGCTCCTCTAGAGATTTGACTTACATCCACAAAAGTGGAAGAACGACTGCTAGTGAAATCTAGTGCACTCGTTCGCACCCATACAACGACAACATGAATCAGCTGGCATGACTGCCTTTTCTGTTGCATTACATTGCTCCTATTTATGAACGGAGCAAGAAACAGGAATACTTTGGGCGAAGTGAGAATAATGCTGAACACCGTCGCCGAGTGGTTTCGCATGGTTCATAGCTAGCGTATTTCGGAGGTCGATACAATTTATTTGGAATTTATTCCAATTCCAAAATAAAAAGAATATTTCAAATACATCTTTAGAGATATTATAAATATATTATCGACTGGTCCAGTGGTGTCATTAGGCCAATTTTAGGGGCGCTTCAGCACCTCTAAAATATTATTCAGCCTTCCTAAATAATCGTATGTTCAGTTATTAAAATTCTTATTTTTTGGAAAAAATAATTCGGTGTATAAAACTGTAAAATTCTATATAAAACTGTCAAATTCTATATAAAACTGACAAAACCAGTCATTATTAACCTAGATATGAACATAAATCTGAGAGAGCATAGCCTCCCGGCCTATAACACATAAAGGTACCAATGCCAATAAATAACCTTATAGCAAATATATAGAGCCAATATTTTAATTTGAAAAGAAAATCAGCTCAGATGCGTAAGCTGATGCATATACGTTGATCTGCCTTCATTTTCCTATAAAAGAAAGTAAAAAATATTTCCTATCATAAACACTACATATAATTTAGTTAGACCTTAAAGGAAAATTTTTTCGAAGTAATGACGCGCCGCAAAACCTATTATTTTTTTGTTGTCGAACTTGCTTCAAGTTGATGTACTAATTAAAGCATTTAGAGATCTTTAAGTCGAACAAATAGTTACTTGCTTCATAAGAACAAAATTCAGTTTTTTTTTTTTCACGCGGATGAACTGAAAGTTTCCACAACCTTTGTGTGTGACAACCTCAAAAGTCTAGAGACTTTGACGAGGCTGCCTTAAGTTGTTCGTTGGTTTGTTAATCGCCGTAGATTGATTAGGATGGCGAACAGTGAATTCGATTATAAATGCCGAGTTAACTTCGCGCTGACTCTGCAATTTTCCTGTTGGCTCATTTAGTTTCGAACTAAAAATAATGCTTTCTTCTACAGAACATATTAACAATGATCATTATTTTTAATTATATTTGAAATACTTGAGCCGAATGTTAAATCAAATCGTTGTTTCAGCACAATACGTCTGGAATTTTTCACTATTACATCTACTTCTTAGAAGTCTTGTAGTTGTATATATTCATGTGATGAATGCTCATGTTTGGGTAATCATTATGCAGAGCCTCTTATGAAGGTGTAACATCAGTAAGGTTATTGTTATTTATTATATTTAACAATTTCGGCAGGAGCATAAAATTTACACAAGAAGAATTATTATAGCCGGGAGAATCGCGTGCCTATCCTGCCTGCACATAACAATAACTCAAACATCTGCTCATCCCTGGAGGTGCAAATCGCAGAATAACGTTGTGTTGCGGAAGCTTCCTCGACATTTATTGTGTCGTAAATCAAGTTAACTCTAAAAAACGTACATTACAGGTCCTCATTATAAGTAGCCTTCCAAGTCACCGATGGAAATGAGCTTGTGACTCTCTTCCAGGGTCGATGGAAAAGAGAACACTTGTAACTGAGATTAAATTTATGTCTGAAAAGAGGTTAACGTTTTAACATATTAGTGCTACATCGTACATAAGTATTTTAAGAAAGTAAAACTGATGTTGAAATGA